TGCCATTACAAACATTATCATTTTTAACCACACTATCTGTGTATATTTTTTTTTGGTTAAATAAGCTACTAATCAAGAACAACGATCTAGTGGAAAGAATAAAACTGGAAGAAATATACGAAGTGCAAAACAGACATCAGATACAGAAAGACTAGAAGTAAGTCAGTGGAAAATTAACAGAATTGTGAGTGATATATTTGTGTTCTAATTGAAGTTAGACATTTAACACTATTAGATACCGGCTCAGTGGTCCAGAGGTTAGGTGTTCGTTTGCACGCGAGACCGAAGGTCCTAGGTTCGAGCGCTGCGAGATGCAGCAGTAATGGATGTGCACTGCTGATAAGTCCGCTAACCAGGACGAGACGGCCATCTTTCAGTGCTTCCAGGTTTCTAATTCTGGTCTAACTTTGATTGATTCATGATTTATAATGACTAATAGCATTATCTAGAATATATGTTTTGTCCTTTTTGAGACTCATCATCAAATAAATGTACATAAATAACGTTGTTGATGTTCACAATACTATTCGGACCCAAATACTTGTCATATCAAACATCAACTCGTCGTTATCTGTTGAGTGAATAAGTCTAAACTGTTAGCATAATCTGTAGTCGTACAACACCAACAATGCAGAAATACCTATTTTTTAGACCATAGTCTGTTGTTGTTGGGGATGTTAGATCCCCAGAACTCGCTTGATAAATGCCTTATTTCGGATTTCACGTTTGCTAGCATGGGCTGATCAGTTGACCTTGAGATTTCATTTCCCACCAGGAAAATCCATGGCTGTGATTGGTTGCTGTGTATTTTAGTGTGATATTTTCGTAACTGTCCCAAGGACATTTCTAAGATGTATAAATAAACGAGAGTTGTGTGCTTGATTGTATTGTAATTGCTGGGTGTTTGTAGAATATACTTTCTACGCTTACAAAGTCTTCTATCTTCAGCTTAGGATTCAAGGTAGCCTATCTGGACGCTGGTTCATTGTCTCGTTCGCGTTTATCGACTAAGGTGAACTCGTAATAGCTTCAAGCGTACCTAGTGACGAACTTATCAGTTGTTTTTTGTAAAATTTGAAAACATTGAAAAATTTAAATTTTTTTCAATTCAAATACAATAATTAACTTTTACCATATTTCCATACACGTATGTTTCCTGCATAAATTCAGCATTTTTAAACTTAGCTGGTTCAGAATTCTTTTAACATACCCTTGTTAATTAAAGAATGAATTATTCTCTAGAGAATAAACAAGTATTTTATGATTCATATAATATGTACATGCCTATTTTTAACTTGTCTCCATAGTCTTTTCTAATACCAACTCATCCGGTACCTATCATGGTTTAGTTCATTTCATTAAGTAGTATAAACTTTTTTGTTTTACTGATTAATCATTTTAGTAATCAATATTTAATCAGACTTTTTTTACAGTAGAATCGATTGTCTGTCATCTCCACTTCACAAAGTCCATATATATGTGTGTATGTATGTATGTATGTACTATTTAACACATTTGACTGGGCTTTTGAATTACTCGTTACCTTAAACTATATGCATCAATTAACTGTTTTGCATTTTGTCCAATGAAATATTCTAGGCTCTAGATGAATCAATGTTAGCAAACACTTTCACACAGATTTTAAATGAATTTTTTTAAAAATAAGATATTTTGATACACATCAAAGTTAATCGCTTAGTTTAGGTAAATGGTAATTTCATGAGTTTTTGAAAAAAAGGCAGAAATAAACAAGTTGAAAGATAATTTACATTTGGAGGGATGCATGGAATACAGTGAACAACTAGGATGTAGTTGGACGATTTGGAATTTGCAGATGATCTTGCTGTTCTGTCGTACATGCGACAACAAATGCAAGAGAAGATAACCAGTGAAGCATCAGCCTCTGCAGCAGTAGGTCTTAACGTACACACAGGTAAAAGCAAGATTATTCGATACAACATAACACGTGCCAACCAAATCACATTAGACGGTGAGGCTTTGTATGATGTATAAAGCTTTACATATCTGGGTGGTGGATTCGATGAAGATGTGAAGGCGTGGATTGACAAAGCAAGGACAGCCTTTTTACAAAGTCACAATGTTCATTACAAATGTCAAGACAGTTAGTTTTATTGTATGGGGTTTAAAGTTGGAGAATGACGAAAGACATCATCCAGAAGATACAAGTATTTGTTAACAGTTTTCTGCACAAAATACTTCGGTCCACTGGCCAGACACCATGAGCAACAACCTACTGTGGGAGAGAACAAACCAGCGGAGGAATAAATCAGGAAGAAGCGCTAGAAGTGAATAGGAAAAACATCGAGGAAAGCACCCGATTGCGTCACATGTCAAGCCCTAACTTGGAACCCGCAAAGTCAAAGGGGAAGAGGAAGGCCAAGAAATGGAGACAGACATGAGAAGAATGGACAGAAGTTGGACAAAACTTGAAATGGAAACCGAGGACAGAGTCGGTTGGAGAAAACTGGTCGGCTGCCTATGCTCCATTGGGGTTAACAGGTGCAAGTATCATAATGATATATCATCTACATGATTATCAATTAAAATCGTCATTGGTATATTTGTAATAAAATACCATTCAAAAGTGCTATGTTTGAATAATTCCTATGCATAAATACACTCACAAATACAAATACCTGTAAATGACGAGCGAACAAGTTATTATCAAATGTTTATCCGAGAGTAAATGAATGACGGCAGAAATATCGAGTTCTAATCCATTATCTATTATCTCAACCCAATGAAACATTGAAAGCATTACCGTCACGTGACTCAAATATTATCAGAAGCATGCTGTATAGAACAAAGAATACACACAATTCGATAAACTCAAACTTGAATAGACTATTTTTATAATATTTTCTGGTTCATAATGGCTTTACATATAAGATGATATGCTTTGTACTAGAAAGCTTGAGCACTAAATTTCTCACTACTCCTTACTCCCTAGAAATCTTTTTCTACTTGTGAACTCTGAACAGAAAACAGATATTAGGCAGTATGAAAGTAGCTTCACTTCACTGATTAGTTTACATACAGGATCTAAAAAAATTTACAAAATTACAAGTGATAATACTCAATAATCTTTTAAAATACATTCTAACACCACCACTAGCAAACTTAACAATTGCCCAATCCCATGAAAGTTTCCATAAACAAACAATAATTAGTCAAAGATGTTGGTTAAAAACTATTCAATATACTCTAAACTACAAACCCAACTGCTTTATATTGTAATATTTCAATCAATGTTCAATTAGTTATTAGTGGTAATCCAAATGAAGATTATAATGAAAAGTTGTTTTTTTTTAAAAAAATCCATCAATAGACTTTATAGTATATGTACTATACTAACTTATTACTTAAAAATATATATGAAGATTTTGCGTGATAAAGAGAAATTAGCGTTTTATTATTTTAAATTTTTTATTTCTGTTTTTGATTTTATATCTTAAGGAAAAGAATTAGTAGTAAGTTTATGTGTATTTTAAAGCAATAAATATTTTGTTCACATGCTCACTGAACAGACTTACTTATTTATTTACTTATACCTGTTACCCTTAATGGAAGATAAGCCAACGACAAGCATTCTTCAATCTACTCAGTCCTTGGTCTTCTTTCCCAGTTCTATCTAATTGTTGTACATTCTTCTAATGTCTGTCTCCAGTTCTCGGTGTAGTATATTCTTTGATCGTCTTGTTTTCCTTTCGCCTTGAGGATTTAGAGTAGTTTGGACTTGTCTTGTGTATTCTGTCCACTTTGAGTGCTTCTTCCTGATTTCTTCCTTCGCTGGAATCTAATTTGTTCTTTCTCACAGTAGGTTGTTGCTGACGTTGTCTTCTAACCACCGGATCCTCAGGATTTTGAGTGGACAACTGTTAATAAACACTCCAAGTTTCCGCTCCATTAAGCAGAACTGTCTTGACATTTGTAATGAAAATTCCGTCTTCTGTATTGGTTGAGAGTTTTCCTGAGTCCTAGATATTCTTCAAATAATTAAATGGTACCCTTGCTTCACCAGTCTACGCCTTCACATCATCATCAGATCCACGTTGCTCATCAGTGATACTACCTAGATATTTGAAGGTTTTTACATCTTTAAAAGCTTCTTCGCCTAAAGCCCCTCTGTGGTTGCTGCCGGTGCCGAGCACGGATAAAAGAGGAAGGTTGGCTATGGGGTTAGCAACCCAATCGCATGCAAAAATTAACTCCCTAAAAAGCGCTAACCGCAAAAAACGTATTCATTGAATAGACATTTTTTGGAAAATGCAATGTAAGACTAGTAAATTTAAACAAACTGTGTAGTGAGTAATAGTTTATTGCCAATTTTCACCTAAAATACCTAAGCTTATATTATAAAACACAAATAAATGTACTTGGAGATAATAATAAATATCTGATTCCAGTGCACCAGCCTATTGGATTAACGGAAAACTGAAACAATTTGTAAATATTAGTTAATCGTCACCTTGTTATATTATGGATAAGATATTTGACTTGTGAATTATTTCTGAACAAAAAAATTCCAGATGTGAAAGCATGAAGGATTCATGAAACTACGAAGTTGTCACCAAGGTTTGTCATGTTCATCTACTAATTGCTGATAAAAAAAAATGATTCAAGAAACCGATGTTTGTATGTTTTTGCTGTGAAGCATGGATGATTTCTTACTACAATTGTGGTTCTTCGAGAATCAGAACTCATTTGAAACTGTTTGACTTAACTTATAGCCTTATAGAATTTAATAAATGAAAACCCTTCTCATCTTAGTTTCAAACATGAGCTCATGACTGCAGTAGTTTCATTTTTTCACAAAACGCTAAAATGTTTTCTTTTGTTCTTCCTTACTACTATGGAGTGTAGTGACTTGAATCAATGGACTATTCTATGGAGCTCTACTCCGTTTAATCTTTTCAATTAGAGTTTTGGAGATTTGTGTTTTTACACATTCCAAATCATCAATCAATCATTGTTAGACCATCGTTAGAAACCTGGAAGCACTGAAACACGGCCGTTTCATCCTGGTATGGGACTCATCATCAGCAGTGTGAATCCACGTTCAACCCTGTCGGGTGTAGGCAGTAACTACCAAAGACAAATGTGTGAGGTCGCTCAAAATCCCTAGATCAATCAGAGTTAGACATTAACACCGTTGGATGCCGGCCCTGTGGTCCGATGGTTAGGCGTTAGCCCAGAATACCGAAGGTCCCAGGAGCGAATCCTGCGCACTACTGATGTGTCCTATACCAGGACGAATCGACCGTGTTTCAGTGCTTCCAGGTTTCTAATGGTGGTCTAACAATGATTGATTGATGATTTGGAATGTGTAAAAATCAATAAATAATTATCCCCTGGAAATTGTATATATTGTATCACACTGTCACTATAATGCAGGGGATGTAATCAACCAACTCTCGTTCAATTTTCAATAATTTATTACACATTACAATACCTAATTCCATTTTTCTCTTCTTTCTTTTTCTTCAATACACATTTTTCATTTTTATGATGATTCTGAAAATCAACTTAATAATAAAGATGATGTTCAATGTTTCATCATGTTATGACATCGATTTATATTCAGTATGGAAAAACAAATTTATCTGTAACGATTGACAGATATAAATCATAAAATTGTCAGACTTATATTTTGTTAACGTAAATCTTATCTATCTATCTATCTTCTATTTATCGACTAAACGATACTAAGAGTAGAGTAGACGCAAACGAGTTAACTAACAGTCATGATCAAATAGTGTACTACGTCTATAAATAATCCTAGAATAAAGGTTCAATATTTTATGAATTATGCTGGCAAACAGTGACAATAAATGTTGATAGTAACTTTAGTCAGTTTATCTCTGGAGAGAGATTTTTATCGATCCAAAATTAAATGATGTATACGAATTTTTTAAAAAAAATGGATTCATCTTTCAAACTTTACCCAAGAAATTGTCGGTTCGCTACATAATTCAAATTAACTTCATTAATACTTGTTATGAAGTTCAAGTAAATATTTGTAACTGCAAGTAACATAAGTCAAAAGAACTCTTTCTACACCATACTGACAGGTGAAGTCTAAATATGGCTAGGCGTTCGCACTCAAGACCGAATGTTCTGGGTTTGAACCCAACGAGTGGCAGGAGTCGTGGATGCACGTTGCTGATGAGTTGCATACCAGGACGAAACGGTTTCTAATGTTGGTTGGTCCATGAATGACGGATTCGTGATTTCAGTAATGAACTATAAATGTCTGTACTTCCACAAAACATACCAAAATGAGTAATTACCCAATATATTCATATTTTTATGAAGAAAATCACAAATAAACTTAACATTAATCAATACTGTATTGAATTTCTTCCATCGTGGTAATATACATGTAATAAGTGAAATTCAATTCAATAAAGCCGTGAATAAATAAATAATTTAAATTGTTTTGATTAAATAATCAGAAATAGCTTATAATTCAATCAAATATTTATTAAATCAGCTAAAAATGAACATATCATCAAAGTAAATTATCCAGTATACCTAAACTTAAAATATATTTTATGATGAAACTGTTTATTTTATGTGTAACAGTTTGAATACTGTTGTTGATATTAAGAACTAAAAATGATCTGTCTTCTCTTAAAATAATTGAATACTTGTCAGATCACTTCTACATTACCATTAAAACACAAGTTCTTCAGCAAAATAACTTGTCATTTGTAGTCCTTAACATTAACATTAGGGAAAATTCAAACTGTGACAAGGAAAGTAAAATTGATTTCCGTTGCACAAGCTAGCGTGGCTATCATCACTCAATAGCTCGGTGGAGAACACTCTGGGCGTTTGAACCTTTAAAGGGACTCTGGTTGAGTCTCATTGTGTACGCCTTCACTAATATGTTAGTAAATAAGGATGAGCAGTCCTGATTGGAATAAAATGTGCACCCTTGATTCTAGCGCTAGCTAATATCCGACTTTACTGAATAATATTTATCACTCAATAAAGTAGGTTTAACTACATTGTTTAATCTCATTTTATTCTTCAACCAGTAAAAGTACCAAGAATTCGTTTTACAGAAGTGATGAACTGATATTTAGTTTTACAGGAAAAATATAGTCGAAAATAATCGATCATAGTGTTGGAAGATAGTCAAGTTTCAATTAGTCTCATTCGTTAGTTTTTGGTGTAAAAATAGCTGAAAAGGTTTGTAGCTCAGTGTAGTGTAATAGATGTGAACAAAATGTACTTCTTAAAACAATTTTCGAACTAAACCACTTCAAACAAACAGTAACATGACATGTTTGTCCTCTACAATTAACATTTCTATTCACATCAAGTTGCTCATTCTTGTAAACTGGCATAAATTCCTAATTATTATTTTCAAAATATATATTTCTTTTATTATTATAATTATTATCTGAGATAAATGATTGAATTGAGAAACTTTGATAGTTATTCTAAACAACATTATCAGTGTCTACCTCAAAGAGAAGTGACATTTTTAAAATTGGAATTTGTTATGCTCATGTGTTTTTAGCTACTTACTTGTTGCTTCAGTTGATTTCCAACTGTATAAACTGATTTATTTTGTTCACATAAACCGACCAACCGATGCAGCTTATGATATTAAGTTGAATTGAATATATTGCTTATTGAAACTCTTTAGGTTATTTAGATTTCTCTCAGTTAAACTATTTACATTTTACCAATGAAATTTATATCTATACAAGTGATATACTATATTCTATCCTTCAAACTTACTTCTGTTCTACGTTTATAGATGGTATAGAGAAAAATTATCTCCAGTATCTAAAATAGTAGTTCTTGTAGTAAACCGAAATTATTTCGTGGATAATGTTAAATTTATCGTCGTTCGCTGTTGTGACTTTCGGTTTGCATCAAATAAAATGATCTGTGGTAGTCATTATTATTTGCAAAGGGATTTAAAGTGATTTTTCTTGGAATGACCATGAAAGCTTAGTGGTTAAGGCATTCAGTTCAGGCAATGTAACACCAATAGAAGAATCATCTTTAATTTAATATTACAGATCATTTTAAACTTCAGATAGAAGTTTGTGCTGATGATGTTGTTCAGAAGAACAATGAAAGCTCCACAACCAAAACATCCAGCTCAGAGAACCAAACACCACCACCACTACATGAAGATAAATGAAATAAGTATCAAGGACTAGAAACATTCATTCTTACAAAAAGGTTTTATCAAAGTAATTGTATCTCAGACTGACTAGAACTGAAATTCCGAAACCCCACGTCTTTAGCTCTGAATACTGAATTCGAACATCAACACTGAAATCCAGTCATATCCACTTGACCGTTTCAAACTCGAAAACGAAACCAGTATCCTAGATTTCTCTCTCTATGAAATAGCAATAAAAAAAGTATACAACTTGTAAACTTAGGAAATATCACAACATTTATTTAGTATAATAGACCTTACAACAATGAATACCAATTAATTAATCCATTTGTTTATATGAATATGGCGCAAAAAAGATGATGAATACTTCAAATTATTATCAATAAACGCTGTTTTATCATCTTGCTTTAATTTCATTTTATTATTTTTAGTCCAGTCCTGATATGAATGAATTAATGAATCCACTTTTGGATAAAGCAATTTATGTTGAACCAGATGGCTTATTGATTGTGGGCAATTTCGTGCTGGCATTCTTAAATTTATCACGTAAGTTAGCGGAAAAATGCACAAATTCTGGTTTCAAATGATAGAAATTGTTAAAAATCTTGATTTGTCCAAATGGAAAGTTATTTACACTAAAAAAAGATTCAACTCACTGGTCCAGAGGTTAGGCGTTCGCGCACAAGACGGAAGGTTCCGGGTTCGAATCCTACGAGGTGCAGGAGTTGTGGATACACACTGTTGATGAGTACCATACCAGGACGAAACGGTCGTCTTTCAGTGCTTTCAGGTTTCCAATGGTGATCTAAAAAGGATTGATTGATGATTTCAAATGTGTAAAAAAACACTAATCTCCATAACTCTTATTGAAAATATTTTTTTAATAAAGATTTCTACAGTAGTGTCCGTAGTAATCTACCTCTTTTCCAAAAAACTCTTTAGTTCTTAATCATTTGAAATGTTTCAAAATAAATTGAACTTGACTTCTTCTCACTTGTAAGTGATGATATGAATCAGTATAATAATTTGTTTTATTACAATGATTGCGGTTTGCATACATTTTGTAGGCAAATAATGAAACATGAAGGGAATTTATGAAATGACAATCGATTGCCACACATTTTTGAAACCATGAATCGACCAATGTTAGACCTTCATTAGAAACCTGGAAGCACTGGACAGTGGCCGTTTCGTCCTGGTATGGGACTCCTCAGCAGTGCGCATCCACGACTCCTGCACCCCGCAAGATTCGAACCCAGAACATTCTCTATTGTGTGCGGACGCCTAACCATCGGACCACTGAGCCAGTATCTAACGCTGTTAATGTCTAACTTGATCAATTCATGGAGTTGCGCAACCTCATACACAGTCTTCGGTAGCTACTGTCTACACCCGAACAGGTTGATCGATTCATGGTTTCAAAAAATGTGTAACTTAACAATCTTCACAACCCCGTAATGCACATTCGATTGTGTCATCATTTTATTATCACTCATCAGGTTTTAAGTTAATATCATGATTAAAACCAGACCTTTTTTTCTCCTATTTATTAGTTGTGATAATTCTCTCTTCATAATAACCCAGCTCTTCTTAATGCTTAGTATTCTCGGACACCGGTTACTCGAAAACATTCTTTCAAAATCAGATCACGGTTGAACAGGAAATAGAGATTATATTCCAACAACAAGGTTAGAATAGAAGACAGAAGGTCCAAAGGAAGAAGACGTTAGTATATGAATAGTTTTCTTGCATGAGAAGATTCTAGAATGTTCCCTTAGTATCATGCTTCAATCTAATCTATGTGCCGCTAACATTAGTTAAGACGAAGAAGAGATGATTATACATTAAAATATCTCAAAAATGAGTCGCATCATCGATTATTTTAAATTTTTTTATATGAAAACAGGAAAAAAACCGTTTGATTAGAATTTATAAGCCTGTTCAGTAAAAGGAAGACTGGAAAATTAAGCTCACAAAGATTGATTGATCGATTCGTATGATTAATTTTGTTCTATGAAAGAGAGAATTAGCTAAACACAAGATTTTATGAGACGTTAACATTTTTAAAAATACTACCATAGAATGAAATGTAGATGGGGGAACTTTCTATTTGTAGCATTCAGTTGACTTATAGTGAATCATTAAATGCGTTCGCTTAGCCTATTACTTACTTACTTACTTACGCCTGTTACCCCCAATGGAGCACAGGCCGCCCACCAGTTTTCTCCAGCCAATTCTGTCCTGGGCTTCCCTTTCCAGCTCTGTACAATTTTTGTTCATTCTTCTCATATCTTTCTCTATTTCTCGGCATAATGTGTTCCTTGGCCTTCCTCTTTTCTTTTTGCTTTGAGGGTTCCAAGTGAGGGTTTGTCTTGTGACGCAGTTCAGTGCTTTTCGTAGTGTGTGTCCTATCCACTTTCACCGCTTCTTCCTGACTCGGCTTATTATTTCTGTTTATTTTTGTTAAGCATTCTAATCCAGTTAAATGGTTTGTATCTTAGATTAGTTTAGAAGAGATTATGAATTATTATGCATAACCAATGGTTACACATTTGAAATCATGAATCGATCAATGTTAGGCCACTATTAGAATCCTGGAAGCACTGAAAGACGGCCGTTTCATCCTGGTTTAGGACTCAACAATAAGAATCATTGAAGTTATTGGTGTTTTCTGAAACTCTTCATGAACTGGATAAATAGTGAATTACTTTGCAGATCATGTTCTATCATCAAATTGTGAAAAAAATTTTCATTGTTATCAATGATTCGTGTTGAATCGAATTCATTTCATCGACTAGATGTATGCAGAACCCGAAGTTATGAGTTTTCGATTAACATTTCATTAATATCTAATTTAGATTATGATATGATATGATTTGAATTGTTCATGTAAATGAATATCTTAGGAGACTAATTGAACAAAAAGGGTTGTCAAGTTTTCAAAGTAAAGAAATAGAGAGACCATAAACTGAGAGTAAATTATTGAAGAAAGTCTCATGAATATCAAAACTTGTGATTGTTTATTAAATTATGGAAGACATGGTGAAAATCGATTGTAAAGTTATGTATGTTTTATGCAAAATCACCAACTGTGCATTAGTAGAAACATGTTATCATGTTTCTTGCATATTTGAGTACATCGACAACATCTCAGTTACAACGTAGAACTTTGTACATACGTACATATGTTCAGGTTGTCAAACCACATTACCACAGCGATGCAACTGTCAGTTCAAATCCCATATTGATAGAGATAGTAGAAGCATTAGCGGTAATGAAGAATATTAGGGATCGAAGTTATTATTTAAGAAGTATAGTTCAGTAAGATAACATTAGAAAGAGAAAGACAGAGGTGATGAGGAATTCTGAAGATTAGAAATTCACAGAACACAAAGAGTGGATGCACCTGCGCCATTGCAGAGGATTTTGAGCCATGTCACTCAGGGTCTGTAACCAACGATTAATATCGTCTCACGGACCCCAACCATGACATCTACATCTACCAATACGACTCACTCTACCTGTCAGTGACTTCATGGATTTTTGTGATGTTTTTGTTTGGTCGCCCCTAGCTGTCTTCGAACCTACCTACAATACCATAAAACATTGCTCGTCGAGCTAGTTTGTGGTTGGGCATTCATAACACATGTCTCAACCACCTCAACTGATGAAGTTTCAATACTTCATCTATTGATTTGCCATCCCTACCTAGTACTCGACAACATCTGGATAACTATAAATGGAAAATATATTTATAATCAATAATTAGTAAGTAGTATTGTAAATCAACTCTACTGAATCTTTCTACTGCTTGAACAATCAATTTAGTATACACATGAAAAGTGAATTATTTTGAAAAATTGTCTTTATTTAATTAATTTGATTCTCAAGCATTAATGGACGAACGGCTATTTATGTATTTCTGATTACAAATTCTACTCTGATCGATATTAATAAAAAGAATTCTTAATGTCATTATATATATTTGCATTTCACAAAAACCTTCAAATGAGAATAGGGCGGTAAAAATAAAATGATCGATTTGAATCAATATAAAATTAATTTGTTTTATTGACTGAAAAAACAATAGTATGTTATTCCTTGTTTTTGTCAGATGCATACAATAAAAAAAATGTTTTTTATGGTCTATTTATTCATTCTAATGTAGTTTGTTGAAGTGATATTTTATGTAAACCTGAAAGTTTGAAAAATAACCATTCAAACGCATCGTCGTAATGAGTTAGTTATCTAGTTCAGAAAGTAATTTAGTTCAATACTTACTTACTTACGCCTGTGATTCCCAATGGAGTATAGGCTGCCGACCAACATTCTCCAACCTACTCTGTCCTGGACGTCGATTTCCAGTTTTGTTGGATTTTTGTTCATGATTCTCATGTCTGTCTCCATTTCTCGGCTTAATGTGTTCTTTGGCCTTGAGAATTCCAAGTGAGGGCTTGTCTTTTGACGCAGTTGGATGCTTTGCTCAATGTATGTCTTATCCAACTTGCTAAAAATAACGCTAAATAGAAAAATCATTTCAATTCAGTTCCATAATTCACTACTAATTCTATTTCAAAATACAACCATAATAGTTTCTTTTACTGTAATAAAATGTTATTCTTTGATTGTGTTATTTTGAAAAAAATTCTTCAAGACCATTAACAACATTATTACTATTATTATTATTTTTATTTACTATATCAGGCAATTCAATTGGTATGAATGGTTTGAAAGCTTTATTAGAAGCAATTACATATCAAGTGAATTTGTTAAATGTTGAAAATGCTACGACAAATATTGGTACAGGCATATTAACTTTATTATTAGATGTAAGTTAATGAGAAAAAAAGACAAAATCATTTCTTTCTAGTTGTTTAATCTTGTATATATTTCAATGAATTAACAAATAAGTAACATATTGATAATGTGCATTACAGGGTTGTGAAGATTGTTAAGCCACACATTTTTTGAAACCGTGAGTCGATCAATGTTAGGCGTTCGCGCACAATACCGAAGGTCCTGGGTTCGAATCCTTCCAGGTGCAGTAGTCGTGGATGCGCACTGCTGAGGAGTCCCATATCAGGAGGAAACGGTCACTGTCCAGTGCTTCCAGGTTTCTAATGGTGGTCTAACATTGATCGACTCACGGTTTCAAAAAATATTGATAATATACAATAAATTGAATGAATAGACTCGTTGAAAATCATGTTTGATTCTACGTATTTTATTTAAATAGGCTCTGAAATTAAATATTTGAACTTGCTCCATGTTATGCTCGTCACCTGATATGCTTGAAACTATTACGGGTTCACTTTAGCCGATAAATGAGAACGTGACAATGAACCACTGTCCGAGTAGGCTACACTGATCCGTTGACCCAAAGGAACTAACGAAAAAGTCTTGATATAGCGTAAAAAAAGTGCATTCTACAAAGACCCAGCCAGCACACAATGATCTCAAGCACACGAATCGCGTTTATTTATACATCATAGAAACGTCCTTGAGAGAGTGGCAAAAATCGCATACTAAAATAACCCAGTGTGACCTGGTGGTAGATGTGATCTCAAGGTCAACTGATCAGCCCATGCTCGAAAACATAAAATCCAAAAATTATGACCTTTATCAAGTGAGTTCTGAGAATCTAACTTTCTCAACATCCCATCTATCAATATGAACTTTGATTCGATGAAAAACTATAATATCATTAAATTAAAGGTTGATATTTGTTCAAGATTAAAAATTTCATTGAATAATTTTGTTTATTTAAAGACTAGACTTACTACATTTAGCAATACTTTAACTGAATAACCTTCATTATTAGCAAAATATCTCATATTCATTAAAGAATGAGTTAGGCCGCGTCTATTGTACTCTTAACATCTACTTCCCACCAACAATTTATACTTTCCTGTTGTCATCATTTGAATAGGTGCCTGAAAACAACTGTCAGTAGTGTAGTAGTGTAATGAAATCTTTTGTAGTCAAACAAAAGAATTCTATTATCTTTTTATTTATTTTCAAATTATACTTTAAGTAATGAGAAAAAATGAACACAAACAATTAATTAAGCTTTTTTGATGCATACTGTTGTGTATAGTTTATCTACAACTAACAGTAATCAATTATTTCAGTAGAATTTTCAGTTTTTTGTAAGTATCCTATATGGACAAATGAATTGTTTATGATATGGAAGAAAGCTTGGGGGCGGCCAAACCAAAACATGGTACAAATCCATGAAGTCACTGACAAGTGGACTGAGTTATGTAGGTAGATGCAGGCTACTTGGTTAGGGTCCGAGAGACGAAAGTCACCGAACGTTTGCAATGACGCAGTTGCATTCATTCGCTATTTTCTCCCAAATTCTAATGTTCAGAATTCCTCATCATCTTTATCCTTCTCTGTTTAAAGTTATCTCACTGAATAGTATCTCGATCCCTAATATTCCCCATTACCAGTAATTCTTCTACTATCTCCACCACTATGGGATTTGAACTGATAGTTGAGTCCCAGTGCAAATGTGTTATGGCAACCTGAAATGACGTGCACACGTACGAAGTTCTACGTTGTAATTGACTGACTGACTGTTTATGCTATCTATCTATTTGTCTTTATTTTTTGAAGCTGCCAAAATGGTAATGAGGGCAACTTTTAAACATAAAAATCCACTCTATCACCATTAATTGTATTTAAAAGGGTGAATATCTCTTAGATAATTCTGTCGTCACTTCAAAACTATAGTGATGTTAATTTAGAAAGACGAAGTTTAAAACCAGTGAATGTCACCTCAGTGATCTAAACGTATAAACATGCGGCGAGAACTGAGTTCGAGTTCTTCTTATTTCGTGGATTTTAACAGCTGGAGAGCAACCAACAAAGAGGAAATATAACTGTTTCGTGTTTCTTAGTTTTCAAAAGATCGCTACACAGTGTCAGCCACTAATGCAAAATATAACTTACTTACTTTTACATACGTACGCCCGCTACCCCCTCCCAATGGAGAATAGGCAGTCGACCAGCTTCCTCCAAACTACTGTGTTCTAGGCCTTCCTTTCTAGTTCTGTCCAATTGCTGTCCATTCTTTTCATGCATGCCTCTTTTTCTCGGTTTTTTGTTTTGTGACCTTCCTCTCCTTCGTTGGCCATGAAGATTCCAAGTGATGGCTTGTCTTGTGGTGCAACTGGCTGATTTTCTCAATATGCGTCCTATCCACATCCAGAGCTTCCTCCTGATTTCCTCCTCCACTGTAATCTGTTTTGTTCTCTTTCATAAAACGTTGTTGTTGATGTTGTATGGTCAACAGATCCGCGGCACATTGCGTAGTCAAACTTTAATGAACACCTGAATCTTTTGGATAATGGCTTTTGTAGTTCTCCAACTTTCCTCCCGATGCATTAGAGCCGGCCTTACGTTTGTATTGAAAATTCTAACTCTGATGTCGGTTATCAGTTTTTTTGAGTTCTTCAATTGAAGAAATGCTAGCATTGCTTTGCTAATCCGTGCCTTCACATCTTCATCTGATCCACCTTGCTCATCAATGATGCTTCCCAAATATGTAAAGGTTTGTACATCTTCCAAAACTCCTCTGTGTGTGAATTGTTTGGTGCATGTTGTGTTGGATCGGAGAGTTTTTCCTTTCCTTTTATATATGTTGAGACCTACTGCTGCTGTGACACTAACCTCATAGGGGCTTCAGTTGGAGTTATTGCAATCTACTAACCGACGTATAGCTTTATGTGATTCGCCGTTAAAGTCTTACCGATTTTGTGAAACCTATTTTAACTAGCTACCAGCTCAGGTATCGATTTATGCAATGGGGCTCAGATTTATATCAAACTTATTAATATTTCAGTTCTAAGGATAATTTTCACCACAATCTATGATCTTCGAAAGCCATGTTTAAAACTTGATAACACAACATAACAATATAATTATAATAATGGAGAATATTTACAACTCAAATGAATGAATCTTTTTAGTAGTAACATGTGTTCTGAGCTAGATAGTTTAAAATTAGAGCTTCGACTGTCTTATCATTTAGTATTTAGTTCATGCATAAGTGTTATTTAACCGTATTAAAATTAAGGTTCAATCTTGCACACAAATCCAAATATACTACTGATATCTCAGTATATATATAAAGGCTGATTAGACTCTGGAAATGCTACTCGCTCAGTTAGTTAGTTATTCAGTGGTTTTTAAATGTTCAACTTCATTTTGGCTAACACTAGGTGATAATCGTATAAAAGCTATGTCATCTTCTCTCTTTGTTCTACTATCTCTTCCACTGATTGTTCTTCTGAACTTCTTATCAATAAATATAAATTTGAAATAATTTTTAATATAAATATACAAATATTCAATCATATTTGCATTAATTATATATTTATTTCCAAATGAATAATTATTATTATTATGTACTTATCATTTAGTTAATTAGGGATTAAACATTATTTTCACTGGTAATTTTGTAATTATAAGTAAGAAAGCTATGAAAATAAGAAAAAAACAGAATTATCTATTGATAAACAGAAAGATATGATCATTTTTTTTTAACCTGGATTCATTTTCTATTGACCGGTTTTTCCTCTTTTTTTTTCTTATTTTATTTTATAGAATAATACATTCAATCCAGAGTGTGAAATCATGACATCGATCAGTGACCTGCTAGCATCACGTGATCCTACAGCAAGAAGTATAAATAGTAATAAAATGGTGGATTCCGAATTAACAAATTGAAATGTATGCTTGGATTAAATTATGTTGTTAACATTATTATTATTATTATTATTATTATTATTATTATTATTGTGATTATTATAGTAGTTAGTGAGAAAACATTTTTCATGTAGTTTTCTGCTTATGAAGGATTGATTAGTTCGAACTATATGAATGATTGGCTTAGATTTATTCTCAGTTAGAATTTCGGAGATTTGTGTTTTTACACATTTGAATTAATCAATCAGTAATTATTAGACCACCATTAGAAACCTGGAAGCACTGAAAGACGGCCATTTCGTCCTGTTATGGGACTCATCAATGGCAGTGTGCATCCATGACTCCTGTACCTCGCAGGAGAAGACGTGACCAAGGGAGTTCAAACATGTCAGATGTAGGCAGTAACTACCAAAGACAAACGGATGAGGTCTCTCAAAATCCCTAGATCAATCAGAGTTAGACATTAACACTGCTGGATGTCGGCCCAGTGGTCCAGAGGTTAGTCGTTCGCGCACACTGCCGAAGGTCCTGGGTTCGAATCCAGCACGGTGCAGGAGTCGTGGATGCTCACTGCTGATGAGTCCCGAACCAGGACGAAACGGCCGTATTTCAGAGCTTCCAGGTTTCTAATGGTGGTCTAAAAATGTTAGATTTTTTCACTTACGTCAATAAGTCTACTTAATGTCATCAGCGTTATCTTGCATAGAAAATAATAAATGAAAGTTTCGGTGTTATTATTAATTTACGAACAACTTTAAGCACCTCACCTACGTATCTGAGTTTGTTTACACTTAAATTTGGTTAAGCTTTTTAGAGAATTTTTTTAACAGACAGTGTCATTCGAATAGTGACAGTCAGTCTGCATCTTTGTGCTTCTATTATTATTATTATTATCACGTTAGTATAATCACGTAGCCTCGAGCACTAGTTACAACTTACACTCATATTCCTCTAAGAAGTTAGTTCGTTTTCCTATATATATATATATATATATATATATATATATATATATATATATATATATATACATGCAACTTAAATCCTATTCATCCGACCTTTAGCACTCGCGTATCTGTTTGTATTTGCCTCGGGTGCTTGTGACCTCTACTACTGCATGACAATAAAACAGTGAACAATGCTTTGTATTGTCTTCTAAAATATTATACACTGTTAGGAGTTACTTAATCACAGTTATCCGGAAAAGTAGTACGTAAAGTGTAGCAGTTATCTGGAATATATATGTGTTTAGAACCTTTTAACTACTCAGTAAACCAGGTGATATTAAGATTAGTCCACTTTTTAACATCAAGGTAGATGATATAAAAAATTCTCTTTAGTAATGACTTCAGTACAACTTACCTGCTAAGTCTACATTATAAAGCCAAAAGCAGTACTTTAATCATGACGAAATGCCCTAAACACTATTGACGTGGACTACAGTCATATAGTCGAGGAAATAACTCACAACAAAAATTGTGTAATTATTTCAACCTTTACGCTCTCGATGTTGTTTATTGACCAAATATAAGTCAATTTGACATGGTTTTAAAAAAACAGTACAAATTGTCTGTTATGGAGTACTGAATTCCACACAAAGATCGAAAATCCGTAACTGTAATCTGGCTGGTTCGGCCATGACGTCTCCAATTTATGATACAGAATAGCAAGCGTGGAAGGTCTGGGAGTGAACCTTCTACCAGGAGACAGGCTTGCTGATTTCGAGTATGCCGATGACATCTTTCTACTTGGTGAAGACGCTGACAAAATGCAGAGTCTTCTGACTAACCTATGCAACAATGCAAGCATATTTGGGATACGGTTCTCCCACTCGAAATGCAAAATGTTGCTCCAAGATTGGCTTGTATCGGCACCTGAACTAGTGATAGGAAGTGGAGCAGTTGAGCATGCTGGCCACTTCACTTACCTCAGGAGTCTCATCAGTGTTGATGGCCTGGTGACTGACGAAATCTCAGCACGAATACAGAAGTCTCGATTGGCTATGCCAACTTGCATCACTTATGGCGTAGGCAAGAAATTCGTTTGCTGACCAAAGAACGAGTTTACTGCGCAGTAGTTCGCTCCGTCCTACTATAAGGATGAGAACCATGGCCAGTGAGAGTAGAAGATATTTTTAGGTTATTAGTATTCGATCACAGATGCCTCGGAAGCACTGTTCGTGTATCGTGGAACACTCGACTAAGCAATGATGCCATTAGGAGGCGGTACTGCGTAAGGATGGCAGATCAATTGATGAAGTTTTGAAATACCGACTGCCTCGACGAGCTTTGTTTTGTGGTGTAGAAGTAGGTTGGAAGAAATTTAGGGTTGGCCAGACCAAAACATGGCACAAATCCATGAAGTCGCTGACAAGTGGACTGAGTCATTTTGATAGGTTCAAACTACCAGATTGGGGTCCGTCAGATGGTAGTAATCGATGGTTAGAGATCTTCAATCATATGGCTCAATTTATCATCACCTCTGTCTTTCTCTTTCCAAGGTTATCTCACTGGCTTATATTTCTCGAATCATATCTTCGAACCCTAATGTTCTCCATTACCGCTAATTCTGCTACTATGTCCCCCACTATGGGATTTGAACTGACAGTTTCGTCTATGTGCTGGTGGGCTATGGCTACCTAAACACACACGTATGAACTTCTACGTTGTAAATGACTGACAGAACAACACTTGGTTATCGTCAATATCCTAGGTTACATTAGTTCTAACATATTGCCATAGTGTCTCTGTCAGCGTCGTAACCGTTAGAAACACAAATCATAATCACATTACTGTTGATTTTTTTCACAAAATTGAAGAAATCGACGCACACATTCAAACAATGCATGTGTTGTAAATAGCAACGTAAACAAAAATCACTATTACCACTGCCTGCATGTAAGTGAGGCTAATTAATGATATGTTTTGCAACGTACCCTCGAATATTAGTGATATCGATCAGAATCTATCCTTATAGCATACATCCGGCAATTATTTCATAATCTCTCAGACATATTACCTAGTAAGATATTAGTTAACAGTCTATTTTTTTTCTAAATATCTTCCCGTCTCTATTGATTTTTCTTTTCTTTTATTATTGTAGATCTAAAAAAATAAATTGAACGAAATCATGTCGATGGAAAATTTTATAATATTGTTTTATTCAACCCCTGGAATTATTTATATCTCACTATATCAAAGTTAAAGAACTTCTTTTGAATTTTGATATTAGAACAATGAATGATTGTACTATATATAATCTATAGAAAATATTTTATGCAGTTATATTAACAGTTTGTTTTTAAGCTAAATCGAGTTGCTTCTTTATCGTGACATGGTGAGGTCAAGTGAATGATGCTACTCGGATCCTGTATGCGCGTTTCGGAGAAGCAGCGCACATCGATGCCTCGAGATTCTAATATCTTAGCTAATGAAGCCTGTTGCCCTATTTGACACAATGTTAGTACATTAAATGCTCCAATATGTAGTTTCGAACGGGGCTTCAAGAGACCAGGAAAAACGTTTCGAGGACTCGAATCGTTTGCAGCAGAGGTGTGGAGAGATAAAGGATTGTGAGTAGAGTTAGTCGTGGAGATAAGAGAGATAATAGGGGGTGTAGGAAGGATTCGATTTTGACCTATTCGGTCTCGCATGCTGTTACGGGTATGAGGGCGGTTGTCACCTTCCGGCTGCCCACACCATGGAAGAGTGTTTCTTGGGGAACTTGAGAAACAAAGGTGGATTAGAGTTGGTCTTAGAGACCTGGTCGCGTGACCGCAGAACCCAAGGGTCAGCTGCTTGAGGCCGGTCACGCTCGGCCCTTTTTGTTAAAGCTTAGAGACCTTGAACGACATGGCTCAAAATCATTTGCGATGGCGCAAGTGCATCCATTCGTTGTGCTCTCTCAGATCCTAATCTTCTGGATTCGTCAACACCTCTACCTTTGTCTTTGTAACCTTATCTCACTGAGTTATACTTCATGAATAATATCTTCAAACCCTAGTCTTCTACATTACCATTAATACCTCTACTATCTCTATCTCTATGAGATTTGATTTGACTTTTGCGTGTCTGTGTTAATGTGTTATGGCAACCTGAACTTATGTACATACGTACGAAGTTCTACGCCGCAACTGACTGACTTTCAGCTAAATGGATTGACTTAGAAATTTTGTCCATTTCAGTAGATCAACTATGATCTTATAAAGAATTGAATATATGAAGCTCACTAAGTTACATTTCAATGAATCATGATTTAAGTTTTTAATCAATTTGTGTTAGAAATTACAATCACCATTAAAAATATTATGAGTGATTGATATTTATCTTGTTTCTAAAAAAAATTCATTGAACGCCACCTGTTATTATAGATTCTTACTAGAATTGTGCAAATCTACTTCGAATTTACTCAATACTGAACACAAGATTGTGACTAAAGTCGGATAATTTTGGAGATAATTGATTATTTAACCTGAATTTAATTTTCATTTATCATACTTTTTTCACTATTGTATGTTCAATATTCAATTTGTTAGAAGCAATAATAAGTCAATGAGAAGAATTCAAGATTTAAGCAATATTTATCAGTTGGCTATCATATCATCTTTGTATATAGCAATACTATCATTATCATTGAAATATGCTTTTACACTTTACTTACGCCTGTTACCCCCAAATGGAGCATAGGCAGCTGATTAGCATTCCCTACCCTACTCTGTCCTCGGCCTTCAATTCTAGTTCTGTCCACTTGTTGTTCATTATTCTCGTATCTGTCTGCATTTTTTGGCATAATGCGCTCCTTGACCTTCTTCTTATTCTTTGGCCTTGAGGATTCCAAGTAAGAGCTTGCCTCACTCAATGAGTGTCCTATCCACTTCCAGCGCTTCTTCCTAAATTCTTTCTCCACTGGAATCTGGTTTGTTCTCTCCCGCAGTAGGTTGTTGCTTGTTAATGTCTGGCCAACATTGAAACATGCTGAATTAGAACTATAAGTCATAAAGATAATTTCTTGAATAGCAATCATGCACTTTAATCATCTCCCTATGAGTGTTCATTTCATAAATTAAATTAGTCCAACATTGTAAATAATCGAAATAAGTAGAGCTTAGAATTGTTTTAGTCAGAGATAATATAAATGATAAATGAAATAATTCGGCGAATAAACAACTTTTGTATCTTAAATGAAAAATATCCTGACCTTTATTTTTGCTCAAATAAGTAGTAAAACAAATAAAAGTACATCCGTATTATCGTAGTTAATAACTGGTTTCTTTCTAATATTCATTTTGCCTCCGGGGACGAAAGAAAATCTAATTAGTTCACAAAATTCCATAGAATTACCACTGATTATAATAATTGTTACGTTAAGCTAAGATTGTAAACTATAAACAATTTGTTTTACTGCTCTAATTTATATTTTGTTAAGTATAAACAACTACAATCACAACCAACGATGAACTAGAGATGCTTTTCATTCATTGTTTTGAAATGATTATCAAGTTTGATTCAATGGATAACACGATGTACCAAGATACTTATTTAAGAATATGAGTGTAGCTATTAGCAATGAAATGATTACTTAACTAGTTACGCCTGTTAACCCCATATGGAGCTAATGCCGCTGACCAGTATTCTCCAGCCTACTCTATCCTGGGGTGGCCTTTCCAATTCTGTCCAATTTTTGTTCATTCCTCTCATATCTTTCTCTATTTCTCGGCGTAATGTGTTTCTTCGCCTTCCTCTTTGCCTTTAACCTTGAGGCTTTTATGTGAGGGCTTGTCCTCACTCACTTACTTGAGTACTCTCTGCAGTGTGTGTCCTATCCACCGCTTCTTCTTGATTTCCTCCTCCACTGGAATCTGGTTTGTTCTTTCCTTGGTAGATTGTTGCCGATGGTGTCTGGTCGACGGATCGGAAGTATTTTGCGCAGACAACTGTTAAAAAACACTTGTATCTCCTGGATGATTGCTTTAGAAGTTCTCCAAGTTTCCGCTCCATACAGTAGAACTGTCCTGACATTTGCATTGAAAATCCTGATTTTGGTGTTGATTGAAAGTTGTTTGGAGTTCCAGATATTTTTCAACTGTAGAAATGCAGCCCTTACTTTGCCGATCCGCGGCGCCCTCACATCTGCATCGGATCCACCTTTCTCGTCGGTGATGCTGCCGAGATACGTTAAGGTGTTAACGTGCTCCAAGGCATCTCCATCAAGAATGATTTGGGGTGCGTGTTGTGTTGTATCGTAGAATCTTACTTTTCCCTTTAAGCATGCTGAGACCTGCTGTTGTTGAGGCTGCTGCTACAATGGTCGTCTTTTCTTGCATTTGTTGTTGCGAGTGCGGTAGAAGAGCTAGGTCCAGAGAGCTAAGTCCAGATCGTTCATCTGCATCCTAGCTGTCCAGAGAATACCATGCTTCCCTTCAGATGTTGATGTCTTCATAATCCAGTCGATCACCAGGAGAAAGAGAAAGGGTGAGAGTAAGCAACCTTACCTGACACCTGTCCTCACCTCGAACGAGTCTGTCAACTGTCCTCCGTGCACTATTCTGCAGTTTAGTCTATCGTAAGTATTCCGTATGATGTTGAATATTTTCTCAAGCACGCTGTAGTATCAAAGAAGCCTCCTTAGTGTTTTTCTGTCCACGCTATCGAGTGCTTTCTCGAATGAAATGATTAGTAATGTTATTTGTTTAGCTGAGAACAAAAACAAATTAGTCAATCTTTTACCAATATATTATCCTATATATTATACAAATGGATTATTCATACTATTTCGGTTTATTACGGAATTTCATAAGCAGTTTATGTTTCCTCTTAGTTTATGAGAAATAATACCTGTATCACGAACATCTATCACAGGTTAAACAGATATTCGCGGACTATGTCTATCTATTCTTCGAAGCGTTAAGAATTGTAAATCTACAGAATTAATCAAATTATTCTTTTAATTTTAAAACTAATGACGAAACATAGTTCACGTGTAATCTGCTTTAGAGTTTCAATACTACACTTACCAACTTAATGATGTTATTCAACCTTGCTATTTCATTTTTAAAATTGAATGTTCTCTGATTACTATTACACAGATTTTAAGGTTGACTGTTATAATTAAGCGCTGACAGGATAACATGATGTTTATTAGATGTCCAAATTGAATTGCTAACGTGGAAAGCTCTTATGATGCAAGGGTGAAATGTGAATGCAAGGAATGATGACTAAACTACGAATCTTTTTGCTTTAGGACTTATCAGGAAAGTGTTGATTTAATAATGGGAAAACTATCTATCCGTTGAAGATTTTAAACCTGTATTGTAGTCAGACACCACGGTTAGGCAGTTTCAACCTGATCAGTACCAAATAGTACAAGTGTAACGAACGAAGACGTAAGACCAGACGATGATTTACTTGAAGAAGACAGTCTGCTAGCAAAGTTTATACAGCTTATCCTTAATATTCCATTTGTGAAACAAGCGGATTACAGGCTGTCTTCTGTCACATGTCTTTTAGTCCTCTTAGCACTATGACCGTCTTATATATCCGGATCCAAAACTCCTCACTTCGATATTAGCTTCAGGGAGATACTCTGCTGCATACTACTTATAAGCCACGCCATTAGTAGCATACACCACACAAATATCGTTAGTTGAGCATCAACAGTACCGCATTACTCACTTCTTTTGTGTCGATAAATACCTACAGAAAGTTTTACCTCCAAACTAAATCACTCGACACCACAACCCACTTGACCTATTGCCAACGAGCTTCAGTAATTAACTTTATTCAAAACTAATAGGTAGAAGCTTCTAACTCAAATATAAGAATATCCTACATATACGAGATCAAAAAGAAGTTTCTTCATATACTATGATTGACATATTACGGAAATATATTTTTTACCCACATCTATAACAAAATGTTTATAGTATCAAAAACTCTGAGTTGTTACTTAAACCTAAATCAAATTATGTATAGGAAAGACGATAAAAACAATAGTCTGATTTTCCCGTGCAGATCATGACATTCTGCAGAAACGACAAACAAACATTTATTAGTGTTTGGTGAAATATGATTTCAAAAAGCATAGCGTTGCCTTTCAACTCGGACAAAACGACTTTACCAAAAAACGTTTTTACTGATAAATTCCTTTGCATAGTGTCAATCAATCAATCAACAGCAACGTGGAAATTCGTACGTACGTACATCAGTTCAAGTTCCCATACCACATTAGCACAGAGACGCATTTGTCACTTCGAATCCCATAGTAGTAGAGGTATTAAAAGTATTAGCAGTAATTGGAGAGATCATGGATCGAAGATATTATTTAAGAAGTAGAATCTAGTGAAATAAACTTAAAAAGAAAAAGATAAATGTGATGAAGAATTACGAAATTTAGGATTTTAGAGAACACAGCGAATGAATGCACTTGCGCCATTGAAAACAGTTTCGAGCCGTGTCATTCAGGGTCTCCAACCATCGATTACTATCATCTCGCGGGCCACAACCAGATAGTTGACACCTACCGACATGGTTCAGTCCACTTGTCAGTGACTTCATGGATTTCTGCCGTGTTTTGGTCTATCCGCCCGTAGCTTTCTTTCAACCTACTCCTACATCGCGAAGCATAGCTCGACGAGGCGGACAGTGGTTAGGCATACATAACACATATCCCAACCACCTCAACTGATGAAGTTTCAATGCTTCATCTATTGATATGGCATCCTTACCTAGGATCCGTTCCCTAACGACAGAATTGTTGACTCGATTGTCCCACGATATAAGAGGATTGCTTTGGAGACATCTATGATCTAACACTAATAACCTACGAATATCTTCTACTCTCACTGGCCATGTTTCACAGCCATAAAGTAGGACAAAGTGAACTACCGCGCAGTACACTCGTCCTTTGGTCAGCAAACGGATATCTCGCCTACGCCATAAGTGACGAATGTTGGCAAAAGCCAATCGAGCTTTCTGTATTCGTGCAAAGATTTCGTCAGTCACCAGGCCATCAGCACTGATGAGACTCCCCAGATAAGTGAAGCGGTCTACACGCTCGACTACTTCACTCCCTGTCACTAGTTCAGGTGCCGATGAAACCCAGTCTTGAAGCAACATTTAGCATTTCAAGGGGGAGAACCGCATTTCGAACATGCTTGCATTGTTGCTTAGACTCTGCCTTTTGTCAGCGTCCTCATCAAGTAGAACTATGTCATCAGCATATTCTAAGTCAAGCAATAAATCTCCTGGCAGAAGGCCTACTCCTGAAAGTTGAGACGAAGATAATGTCATTTCAAGAAGCATGTCTATGACATTTGCATAGTGCAATCGTAACATGACAAAGGTAGTCTGTGTATGTCATGAATTAGGGTAAGATGGTTGAAACGCACTAATAAATTCAGACAGGTAGCTGAGTTATCGACATAATTACTTATCTTGAGAATTTGATATTGATGGAATGTTGAATGGAATTTTTACACAATATATTTGAACAACATTCGGAACTCCAAACGACTGTCAACTAACATCGAAGTCAGGATTTTCAATACAAATGTTAAGACAGTTCTACTGTATGCAGCGGAAACTTGGAGGACTACGAAAGCCGTCATCCAGAAGATACAAGTATTCATTAACAGTTGTCTATGCAAAATACTTCGTATCTGTTGGCCAGAAACCATCAGCAACAACCTTCTATCAGAGAGAACAAACCTAATTCCAGCAGACGAAGAAATCAGGAAGCGGTAGAAGTGGATAGGACACACTGTGGAAAGCACTCAACTGCATCACAAGACAAGTCCTCGCTTGGAATCCTCAAGGTCAAAGAAGAAGAGGAAGACCAAGGAACACATTACGCCGGGGAATAGAGAAAGATGAGAAGAATGAACAAAAATTGAACAGAACCGCGAAAAGAAGCCCAGGACAGGGTGGATTGGAGAACACTGGTCGGCAGCCTATGCTCCATTGGGGGTTGATAGGAGTAAGTAAGTTAGTAATACTTGACTAAACGGGGTTATCCTAATCCATTTTAAATATTATTTGTACTTCGATTCCGAAACAAAACGCTAGTGATCAAATTAGATGGTTGACATCGAGAGTATTCTTAAGAATTCCACAAGGCATTAACATTCTGAGGATCGACCATATCTTCAGATAATCGATCATGTTCTCATTCCAGCATTAAACAATTTAAAATATTCCCCCTTGTAAAAATATGAAACAAAATTAAGATAATACGAGCAAATTTATTAAAATAGACCCGAAAAAAGCACACCAAAAATGCACTGATTTTCTATCCATATGAATATCTTAAATGTGAATAAATACTAGCGAAGTAGTCCGAAGAAGTTAGTCGTGGAGATAAGAGAGACATTAGGGGGTGTGGGAAGGATTTGATTATAACCAATTTGGTCTCGTGTGCTGCTACAAGTATGAGGGTAGATGTCACTTCCCGGCTGCCCACACTGTGGTAGGGTGTCCCATGAGGACCCTGAAAAAGGAGGTAGATTAGTGTTGGTCTTAGAGAGCTTGAGCGTGACCGCAGAGCGCAAGGAACAACTGCTTCAGGCCGGTCACACGCGGCCTTTTATTCGTATGTTTTGGAGGTGCTAGCTCCGCTCTTCAAATGGCCTTATTTCCAGAGAAGGAAATTTGTGGGGTAGAGTGAGGTGTGATATTTTTAGGGTCGACCTTTTCTAACCCTTCCTTCCTTGTGAGAGGGCAGCATCGCTGAAGATGCTGGTTGTCCGAGGGAAACAGTTTACTGCCGTCACACCCCTCTACAGTCAGCAGTACGACTTCGCCCTCAGAACTTGAGTAGTTGCTTTTATTCTCATCGTTCTTCAATCGACCTGCCTGGAATAGTCGAACCTACAGGAACATATGTTCCAGCTAATATAGCTCTGTTGGATCATAACGACGATACGTGAGCCCGACCACCATGTCAAGGTAGCAGCTACGGTCAGATATTTGACTGAACGAATTATCCTACATCATTTTAAACATTATTTAGACTTCGATTCCGTAACACAACATCGATGATCAAATTAAATGGTTGACATCGAAAGTAATCTTAAGAATTCCACATGTCAGTAACACTCTGAGGATCGATCATGTTCTCATTCTTCATCCTTAGATAATTTAAAATATTTTCCCTTTGTGAAATAAAAAAACAGAAAAGTTACAACAAAATTAAAATAATACGAACAAATTTATTAAAATAGACCCGAAAAAAAACGAAAAACAAAGTACACCAAAAAATGCATTGATTTTCTGTTCATACATGTTCATAATATGAATAATATCTTAAATGTGAATAAAAACTAGCAAAGTAAAATTTAAAGAAATTTTCATTTAACAATAATAAATAGTAAGTAGTAATAATAATAATCATTATAGTAGTAGTAGTAACAAATATCATGGAATATTGAAGTAAACTTGTTTTGTTTTTTTACTTTTTTGTTGAATTTGAAAAATAGGTATACATGTATTATTTATGTATATATATATATATATATATATATATAGTTATATATATATAAACAAAGAGGAAACATTGATCCACAGATGTTGTTTATCATTGAAACCATGAAGAATGTTAGTTTACAAAACGAAAAAAAAAGAGTATGGAGACAAATACATACATACATTCATACACTTACATACATACATACTAATGTAGGAGAAAGAATTAATCATGAGATCGTTTGTTTTTATGATCAAGTAATAATAAGTGAACACACTCAATCGATCATCATCATTTTTAGCGATAATACTTAGCCATAATAATAATAATAATAATAATAATAGTAATACTTGTTTATTCAAATTCAAGTTCAATTTTATCAATCATAAAAATGCACATACACCCAAACGCACGCACGCACACATTAAAGAAAAATACATTGGCAATAATTATCTCAATTAAAAAATAATATTGTAAGGAAAGGGCAGTATAATGAAATGACACAATTATCTACACATCAGCAGCAGCAGCAGCATTAGAGTCAATAATAGTGTGTGCATTGAAGTGAAACATTTTAGGAAAAAAAACACCGTTACAAATGACAATGACAAGAACAGAAAATGAATGCAGTTTAGCGATTAATGAGAATAATAATAATAATAATAATAATAATAATAGAGATATATTGAATGTATAAAAATAATTTTATTCAAAAATTTCTTGATCCTGTTGTATTGATTAAAAAGAAGAAGAAGAAGTAAAAAATGAACAAGGGTCAAGTGAGATATTCGAATCGATCAGTTCTGGGCAAGATAACACGATCCATTTATGTATATATACACATAAACGATCTTGATTAAGAACATACAAGATACAGAACACACCAAGGGGATAAATAGAGGGAGAGAGCATGTTAAACTTCAACATTTACACATATAGATATTACATTTTTTTCAAAAAAAATTACTGACTAGTTTAATACCGCACACACAAAAAAATCATACATAATCATTTGTCATTATATGAATAATAATAATAATAATAATAATGGAATATCCTATAATAAATAGTGATAAACCAGAAACAAGTAAGTAATGAATAACATGATTAGGCCAAACAAAATGAGTACAGAGAGAGAGAGAGTAAGCATACAACAACAACAACATTGAGTAAATACTAAGAATATCAAATATTTGTATATATAAAATCTAAAATAAAATACACAAAATACTCATATATAAATATATATATATATATATATATCAATTAGTTTCTCATTACTATTACTGTGATAGGGAACACGGCTGAGTAAGAAAAAAGGTCTTGTCAAATTAATAAGTACACGTTTGTTTTTCCCCCCGAAGCATACATTCGTACAGATTTATTTATTTAACAACAGAGAATAAATAACAGATGAAGCACAAAATGCACAATAAACACAGACAATAGATTGAAAGCAACACACACACACACATTGTCAAGTTTGTGTGTGTGTGTGTGTGTGTAGAATAAGACAAAATTGACACAGTGTACACACACACACAGAGACTTGTGAAAAATAATCGATTGCTCTGTTTCCTCCTCAATTTGTCTCTTCCCAATCTCACATTGCCTCCTCCCTCTGCCTGTGTGTGTGTGTGTTGATTGCTTCTTTTTTTATCATCTATTGAGAAAATGCATTCGTTTAATCGATTTGCTTGCAAAAAAATAATAACCAACTAATTACAATCATATCAGTGTACTACGTTTTTCCTTCTTCATTGAATGTCTACAACACCGAGATTGTTATACAATAACAATAGTAATAACAATAATGGTAGTAACAATAATTATAGTAACAGTAGTATTGTAAGAAATTTCGGTTATTTAAAAATAAGCAGTTGGATCATGATTTTTAGGTGATCTCAATGCGATACTCTGTTTGAAATCGGTCAATTCTTTTGTTAATTTTAATCGAGTATAATACGCAGACAATGAGCCAACAAATAGAGTCTGTTAAGATTGAACAGAGAGAAAAATAAACATACGGCACAATAAAACAATAATAATCATGTTCATAATGTATAAGATATTAAATTTGATGTAATCCAATGGAACCAACCATAAAACCAACCAATCAATGATAAGACATTTTTTAGCCGAAAATAACAACAACGAAAGTCTAACGGTTAGGGCGTTCACGCACAATACCGAAGGTCCTGGGTTCGAACCCTGCGAGGTGCCAGGAGTCATGGATGCACACTGTTGGTGAGTTCCATACCAAGACGAAACGACCGTCCAGTGCTTACAGGTTTCTCAATGGTGGTCTAACAATGATTGATTGATGATTTCAATGTGCAAAAAATCACTAATATCCATAATTCTAAATGAAAATATTTTAAGTTACTCATTGTGCAAGCAGAATACTATGATGTTAAACACTGATAAAAGTTGGTATCCTTTACAGCAATTGTAATTTAGCGAAATAGATAAAAAAAATCGATATTATTCAAATAATACGGCAATTAACTTCTAAAATAAATACGGCTCTAAATTATAGTGTGTACCTCAAAACAAAATCTGTACATAATTTTTGAGTCATACTACTATGATGCGTCTTTATGATTGATAAAAAAGATTATGTGTATTAAGCTTTTATTTAAAAATCAGATTTTTTATGTATTTTCTAAAAATACAGAAATAAGTAATATTTTTAGTTAGAGTTTTGGAGATCGGTGTTTTTACACATTTAAAATCAATCAATCATTGTCAGATCACCATTATAAACCTGTAAGTACTAAAACACGGCCGTTTCGTCCTAGTATGGGACTCATCAGCAGTGCGCATCCACGATTCCTGAACCTCGCAGGATTCGAACCCGGGACCTTCGGTATTGTGCGCGAACGCCTAACCATTGAACCACTGGGCCGGCATCCAACGGTGTTAATGTCTAACTCTGATTGATTTAGAGATTTTGAGCGACCTCACACATTTGTCTTTGGTAGTTGCTGCCTACATCTGACATGTTTGAACTCGATTGGTCACGTCTTCTCACGAAACTAGTCACTAGTGAGCACATGTTACGATATTTTCAGTTAGAGTAAAATGAAAAAAAAATCCAAAGTATCAACGTACCAAACCAAGTAGAACGAAAACAGCACCACCAAGTGAACAAGCGAAAAGTGGTCCCACTATCATTACCTAGATAAAAAAAAATTAGGAAAAAAAGTAAGTTGTACATGCACATATGAATGTGATAGATCAAAGTAAAAATTGTAGGTAATGAAATAAACTTTATTCTTATTCGATAGTGTAGTTTATATATAGGAATTGATTTCGATTAGACAACCATTGAAAAGCAAAACAAAAAAACACTGGTCAGTGTTTTTTGTCCCAATGTGGGATTATACCTTAACAAGAACAATAGAATGTGTTTCATACGTATATATATATATATATTGTATTGAGTCTTCTGTGACTATGACAAAATTGAAAAGTCAACAAGAACGATTAAATGAACGATCAGTGCATAAAAACAGGATTGCAATGATTAGTGGTGATATTTAAAGAGTCATGACACTAGATCTAACATGAAACTTACAGCTAACAAAGAATTGACAAAATAGATAACGAGTTCTAGAAGACATTATGGCTATCAGTTTGTTAACTAAATGAATGTCAATCAGAACAAGTACGATTTCAGTCACGCTTTTTACACGAAAATTAGAAACTATGGCCTAATGGATGTAAATTAAGTATTCAAACTATTCGACACCAAAACCTGAACCTATAATAATACTTATCAGTAGCATACATCAAAGATAATATTAGTTCACAGGGCATCCCATTTATTTAGCGCGGACCACAAACTATTACTCTATCGATAATTGAATATCACACACTTATTAAGTACGGTTTGTTTATGCACAGAAATCGCAGATTCTTCTCAAATATAAATCAGTAATTTACAACTTAAGGGATGACACCATTCATTGGTGAATACTCAGTGAAACGATTACAAACAATCGCAAAAAAAGAAGTTTCATCTTGATATTATGATGACTGGATTGTTTAGTTGCTTATCTGCAACTGTTTATCAACTACTTTGAAGCAACGTATTTCGTTTGTCTGAGAAGTTTTTCATTCACCTTCGAGTGGTAGAATATTATTTCTCACAAGAGTGAAAAGGTGAAAGTACACATGCAATACTTAAAACCTAATCAGTGGACGATAATTTTGAATTAGAATGAGAAAATGAAAGGCGTAGGAACCTGTCCTAATGATCGATTACAACTGGGAAGCAATTTCTTAAGTTAATATACAGTCTGCTCGGCTTACGACTTTTCTTGTCAAAGTCTTTGGTTTGAGTAACCGGAAAGCATGGCACTCTTCATACAAATAGTAAGTCTGAAAATAGGAAGAAAAGTCTACGCTCAACTTACTCTAGTCTGTAAAGCTTATGAGGGTCAGAACGACAGAAGAGTATGAAAACCATGTAATGTGCAGTGAATATTTTACAACTTTCCGTATACACTGCGATAACGATACATAAAATTTTGTGTTAAAAATTGTCTAGCATAGTTACAATGAAATATTTATGTAATACAGATACCATAAGAATACCTACAATCATTATCAATCAACAGCAACGTGGAACTTCGTATATACGTACGTACATCAGTTCAAGTTGCCATACCACATTAGCACAGAGATGAAATTGTCAATTCGAAACCCATAGTAGTGGAGGTAGTAAAAGTATTAGAAGTAATCGGAAATTTCGGGGTTCGAAGATATTATTTAAGACGTATAATTCAGTGAGATAAGTTCAGAATGAGAAAGGTAGAGGAGATGACGAGTTCACAGGATCAGGATTTGAGAGAACAATGGATGAATGCACCTGCGCCATTGCAAGCGGTTTTGAGTCATGTCATTTAGGGTCTCTAACCATCGAATACTATCATCTCGCGGGCCACAACCAGGTATTCGACATCTACCTACATGACTAACTCCACTTGTTAGTGACTTCATGGATTTGTGCCATGTTTTAGTTTGGCCGCCCCTAGCTTTCTTCCAACCTATTCCAACATTGCAGAACATAGCTCGACAAGGCAGTCAGTAGTTAGGCATACGTAACACAAGTATACACATGAATATCTACACAATCATTCTTCTACTTATATTTACTCATTCCAATAGTGGATGACAATGACAATTTAACCATTTCAAGGTAATTCAAACAAATAAGTAAACAAAAAAACAAGATTATCTACAACCATTTTGTCAATCTGAATTCAACAGTAACAATCAATGAGATGTTGAGATTTGAAAAGAAAAACAAATTCCCATAGTTACATTTATAAAAAAATGTTGCCTTACAATCAAGCAAATACTTTTCAAAAAAAAATTATAATGAAATCCTTCGCATCACATGGATAAAAGTGTTACTTGAAACAGGATTAAGAAAAAATTGCTTGTTGTAAGAAATACATGTAAATTATGTTGTTAATATATATAAATATCAGCAAATCAGGTGATCTAAATATTAAATACTACAATTAGTTAACTTTAAGACGGAAATATGTACGGCAAAAAATAGTGAAAGCTAACATTAGTTTGTAAGTTTCCAGTTTTGTTTGATAAAAACTTTAGCAACAATGCAAGAGTTTATTATTCAATTTAAAATGATGCAAGCAAGATCCAACACAACAGTGTGTATCTATTGAAGTCACCCCAGGGCATAATATTATTATCACAGCGACAGAGAGAGAGTATTAACAAGATCAAAATTGAAAATGAGTCAAGAAAATGATGGAAACTTATGAAGGAATACGGAAAGATTATGGATCATAAAGAACAAATGAAATTGAAGAATGAAAAGTATTGAACGACAACGATGAATTTACAGAACTAGTGCCACAAGACTATTGTGGGACACGGTTAGTTAAAATTTTCAATCACGAACCAGGATTTTATTGGAAGACACGACCTGAAATTACGTACCAACCGATGTGGCTCAGTTCAACAATGGTTAGGCGTTCACGAGCAAGACCGAAGGTCCTGGGTTCGAATCCTGCGAGGTGCAGGAGTCATGGATGCACACTGCTGATGAATCCCATACCAGGACGAAACGGCCGTCCAGTGCTTTCAGGTTTCTAATGGTGGTCTAACAATGATTGATTGATGATTTCAATGTGTAAAAATGATTTCATACACAAATATCACATTTTAGTTGAACTGATATCTCAAGCATTAATGGACCTGCTATGAAGCATTGAAAGATAGAAACTTATAGAGAGGCCAAGGGTGTTTTTTACGGTGTTGTTAAGATTTTGTTAGTTATCAATCTACTACGGCTGATGAAATATGTAGGTGGTTGGGACATGTGTTTCGTAAGCCAAACCACCGGCTGCCTCGACGAGCTATGTTTTGTGGTGTAGGAGTAGGTTGGAAGAAAGCTAGGGGCAACCAAACCAAAGCATGGCAAAAATCCATGAATTCACTGACAACTGGACTGAGTCATGTTGGTAAGTGTAGACTACCTGGTTGAGGTCCGCGAGATGATGGCAATCGACGGTTAGAGACCTTGAACGACATGGCATCCGTGCGCTATGTCCTCTCAAATTGTAATCCTCTGATTTCCTAATCACCTCGATCTTTTTCTTTTCAAGTTTCTTTCACTAGATTCCACTTCTTGAATAATATCTTCGAACCCTAATCTCTCCGATTACGGCTAATACTTCGACTACCTTTATTACTATGAAATTTGAATTGACAATTACATCTCTGTGCTAATGTGGTATGGCAACTTGAACTGATGTACGTATGTAAGACGTTCTACAAGGTAACTGACTGGCTAATTGATGAAATATGTAGGTAAACTTGAACTGAGTAGTGAACATTAATTACTCAACATAGAGTGTATCTAATTTTTCTACAATAATCAGTTTTCTAGCATTCTTCATTAATTTATAGATTCTCCGATTGATTTTTCACAGGTACTCTACTTTACCTCTACTATCTCATCTTGTACATTGATAAAGTCAGTGACAATCAGTACTAACACACTACTGTATACTTGTTAGGATATTCATCCAATATCCTAAGAGAATTATTGGTCAGTTCCTATTGGTTAATTCCTACTGGTCAACTTTATGGTCGTCCTAGATATCAATGTCACATGCTCCAATGTTGTTTCTTATTGGTGGTCCCGACCATCAATGTCACTTCAAATGTTGCTTCCTATTGGTTGTCTTAACTGTTAATGTCACAGACTTCGATGCTGTTTCCTATTCGACCAAAATGTATAAATACGCAATATCTGTAACGTTCTACGATCAGGACCAGGACCCGGTCCCGGATCACTAGTCTGGAATCCTGATTCTCTTCTGGATTCGGACCTCGTATTTTCTGGATGCTTGTAGAATACAGGTTGTACTTCACATTTAAGTCTTCGTATTTTTACTCAATATGGGGGTTGGGATAATCGGATTTGAGTAGCATGTCGTGCCGCCGGATCCTCGCTCTCGTTTTCCGACTAGCTGAACTCGTAATAGTTCAAGTTTATCAAGTTGACGTGTTTACGTGCAGGTATAACAATACTAATCACTAATAAATAACACATAATGAGAACAATCACTTACTTCATCACAAAATCTTGCAAATTCATTTAGAGAAGTAATAGCTTCACGATAATTCAATGATTCATCATACATCCACGGTTTAATATAAACACCTATTTAAGAAAAAAAAATTAGACGTATACTGTACACCTATATACAAACGCTAATACAACACTAAGCAGAGAATCACGACAAACAATTAAATTCTACTAGTACACTTAACAGATATTTAACATCTCATTTTAAGTACATGGGAAATATTTAACTCAGTGTGTAAAAACAAAGTTTCAATAGATTGTTGAAATTATGCCTTAAGAGGTCGACTGATTAGTCTTTTGAAAATCTATTTTAAAAAGAATGAATATCTAGAGTTGCCATTAGATTTATTTTAAAACTCGTGTGTGTTTTGTTTATTGTAGCACAATGTAATGAATGGATAGAATTGATGCATTAAAACAAAAGTACAATCATTTTATGAATAAATTTCATCGTAATTATATTGTCAGATGATAATAAAGCTAGGGGCGGCCAAACTAAAACATGGTACAAATCTATGAAGTCACTGACAACTGGATTGAGTCATGTTGGTAGGTGTCAATTAACTGGTTTGGGCCCGTGAGATGATGGCAATCGACGGTTAGAGACCTTGAACGACATGGGTTAAAACCGTTTTCAATGGAGCAGGCGTATACATTCTTTGTGTTCTCTCAAATCCTAAACTTTTTGATTCTTCATCACTTTATCTTTTTATTTTTAAGTTTATTTCACTAGATTCTACTTCTTGAATAATATTGTTGAGCTGTAATCTCTCCGGTTACTGCTAACACCTTTACCACCTCGATTACTATGCGATTTGAATTGAAAATTACATCTGTGCTAATGTGGTATGGCAACGTGAACTGATGTACCTACGTACGTACATACGAAGTTCTACGTTGCTGTTGATTGACTGATTGAATAAAGCTGAAGTATAATGGGAGAGAGCCAACCAGGAAGAAGTCACTTTAGGGTTATGACACATCTATCGAAATAAAATGTTGATTACCGAACCTAAACTACATACTTGAGGTTAAAGTTGAGGAGAAGATGTATAGTTTAAGGTTGAGATTTGCAATTTAACGTTTCAGTTAAAATTAGGGTATATATAAATTAACAGTCAAACAGTTCAAATTTCATTCATAAATCCTGATTGCAACTGTAACAAAAACTATAAATTCCAAATTCTACATTCTGATCCTAATTATAAACTCCAAACTGTATATCGTAATCTTAAATCATAACCGTGGATCTTGAGCTCGAATCTTAACTTTAAATCCTACATACGCAAGCATTTCAAATAGAGGCGAAGTTCTCGATTGAGAGGCCTGTTTATACTTTTCAATGTCCGGATCTTTAAAATAAGTTTATCATTACGCTGAGGTTGAAAATTTTAACATTGAATTGATAAACCCAATACAAACATTCACTTTAAAATTATGAAAAACCAGACAAATATTGTTTTTGGTGCAGATTGACAAGTATGGTGAGCGACTGGTCAAGTCAAGTCTAGTCAGATGCAACGTAGAACTTCGTACGTATGTACATCAGTTCATGTTGCCATATCACATTAGCACAGAGGCGCATTTGTCACTTTGAATTCCATAGTAGTAGAGGTAGTAAAGGTATTAGAAGTAATCAGAGAGGTTAGGATGAGAAGATATTATTCAAGAAGTATGATTCAGTTAGATAAGTTTAGAAAGGCAAAACTAGAGGTGTTGAAGAATCCAGAATAATAGGATTTGAGAGAACATAAAGAATAAATGCACCGGCGCCATTGCTAACGGTTTCGAGCCACGTCATTTAGTATCTCTAACCATCGATTATTATCATCTCGCGGACCCCAACCAGGTAGTCGACAACTACCGACATCACTCAGTTCACTTGTCAATAACTTCATGGATTTATGCCATGTTTTGGTCTGGCCTCCCCTAACTTTCTTCCAACCTATTCCTACACTACAAAACAAAGCTCGTCGAGGCACTCAGTGGTTAGGCATATGCAGCACATGTCCCAACTACCTCAACTGATGAAGTTTCATTACTTCATCTATTGATCTGCCATTCTTACCTAACACCCGTTTCCTAATAACAGCGTTGCTCACTCGGGTGTCCCACGATATACGAGCAATGCTTCGAAGACATCGATGATCGAAAACCAGTAACCTACGAATATCTTCTACTCTCACTGGCCATGTTTCACTGCATTTTGTCAACGTCTTCACCAAGTAGGACTATGTCATCGGCATATTCTAAGTCATTAAGCGAGCCTCCTGGTAATAGGTCTACTCCTGAAAATTCAGACGAGGATAAGGTTATTTCTAGGAGCATGTCTATGATAAAATTAAACACGAATGAAGAAAGTCGACATCTCTGACGGACATCACTTGAAGTGAAGAATTCCGGTGACAGTTCGCCATAAGCTCTCACTCGATCTGTAGTGTTCCAGTAGATAGCTTGTATTAGGTTAATGTACTTCTCTGGTACACCTTTCAATGACAGATACAGTGAGTGACTGGAATCTGCAGTTGTTCTTAACAAAAAGATATTAACATTAAAACTGAACACTTGTTTTTAAAAAGAAAAAACAAGTGACATTCAAACCGAGTATTATAATTACATTTGATTCAAAGACAAAAACTATGTTAGTGGTCAATTAATTGTAGAATTATTTAGTCAAATTTTAATAATGATAAGGTTCGTCGATAAACCTGTGTGCGTTTTTATTGTCAGAAAACAAATACCAGAACAAAACAAAAAATGAGATTCTGATAGATGGAGTATTTTCTGTCCTGTAGATTCATCTAGACGATATGAATGATGGTATTGTGGTGCGCGTTACTTATAAGTAGTATATGATGCGAGTGAAAACGTAATGTCTGGCAGCAGAAGATGGAAGAAGATCAAGAAAGGAAGAGTGGGAACACAATGGAATTTGTATGAAACGTATGAATAAGTGAAATGTCAGACAATGGATTGATATTTTGCAAATTAACGGTTTACGATATGGTTTTCCTATTTTACTGAGTAACTGTAATTTGCGATAAATACAATTCGGTTGCCCTCACCATGTTTTCCTTCACTACAGTATTACTATTAGATTCCCTGGTTATGTTAACATTTATCTTATCAGATACATTGAGAACATTCCGAAATCATTTATTAAAAACTGACAAAACGACACATAACATTTTAGAAAAAATATATAAAAAGATATGCAAATTACATGCTTGGAATTCTGATAAAAAATGGAAATTTTCCAGTGTTAAATTTCACCAAGTATTTTTTTACTTTATTGTCAAATAAACTATTTTTACTGATATATATATAATAGGCAATTATTCAGCATTTTAATTCCAGGTCTTCTACTTGGTAAAAACGCTGATGAAATGCAGTCTTCTGACTATCCTAAGTAACAAACAATACAATCCTGTTCGAGATGTGATTCTCTCCGTCCAAATGCAAAATTTCGCTTCAGGATTGACTCGTATCAGCATCTGAACTAGTGATAGGGAATGAAAAAGTTGAGCATGTTGACCGCCGCTTCACTTAACTCAGGAGTCTCATCAGTACCGATAGCCTGATGTTTGACGAAATCTCAGCACGAATACAGAAGTCTCAAATGATATCTCTATGTCTATAAGTTTTATCATTCTGAAAATCAAATCTATTTTTGTTAAGATTTTAACCTAGTGAACTACAATTCTCGGAAGCATTACAATAAGGTATCGAATACACATGGACTTGTATTATTCATAAAGTGAATGCAAAATGATTCATCTTTGTTTAAATGCAAACTAAATCACTTAAACTATGTTCTTCATATTGTTCAGTTGATAGATAGATTACGATGAAAAGAATAGAGTATAAATTATGTTACATATAAAGCATATAACTTTGTATTTAGTTGAAATAAAAACTTAGCTCAGTACTTATGTATGAAAATAATTCATTCAGTCAGATGCAACGTAGAACTTTGTACGACCGTAGCTGCTACCTTGACGTGGTGGTCGGGCTTGCCTATTGTCATGACCGAACCGAGGGATGTGACAGCAGTAGGGTGTTTCCCTCGGATAGCCAGCATCTGCAGCGATGCTGCCTTCTCACAAGGAAAGAAGGGTTAGAAAAGGTCAGCCCTAAAAATGTCACACCTCATCCTACCTCACGGATTTCCGTCTCCGTCGGTAAGGGTGCTCACTAATGGTTTTCAAGAGCAGAGCTAATACTCAAAAAACCTTTCATAAGCAGGCCATGCGTGACCGGCCTCAAGCAGTTGTCCCTTGGACTCTGCGGTTACGCACCCAGGTCTCCAAGACCAACACTAATCTATCTTCCTTTTTAGGTCCCTCAAGAAACAACCTTCCACGAAGTTGGACAGCCGGGAAGTGACAAGCGCCCTCATACCCGTAACAGCACACGAGACCGAATTGGTCAAAATCATACCCGTATGAAAATAAAATAACTCTTGACAAATGACAGAATCAATAATGATCTAAGGGGGCTTCATTAAATAGATACTTTGAATGAATACTAATTCAAGTTTTCTTTCCTGCTTGAAAAATTTTTTAGACCGAAACATCATGTAGAACAACTTTCGAAATTATTTATTACATACACGCCCGAATCTACTTTAAATTAATGTGGTTGATGTAGATAATGTTATTGACATTGATACAATAAGCGATATCACAATCCAGGGCATAACTAAGACATATGCATATCTTCATGAATACCCATTAAATTGAGTTGAATTCATATTAGTTTATCTATGATGTATGATAAATTAATCACTTACTAGTTAATCTCAAATGACTGCGTAACCATAACAAACAAAGCAAACAGTTTAGTAAGATATAAAGAATTAATCGTATTAGTATTATTTACAATATTGTTTTTTCCAATAAAAAAAAAACAACCATACTTACCATAATGTGTTAAGTTAAAAATATAATTAAAGTCAGGAGAATAATAACGATTGGCGTGATAATTCGGCATGTTGACTGAATTTCCCAAATTAACAAAAGGAGACCTGAAACCATTCTGTGAATCAGAAGGATTATAACCAAAATTAAGATTTTGATGATAATAATAAGCAAGACGAGCTGTATACGTTTCTGCTAGATAATCTTTACGATCTCGTAATTCTGACAGTGAGGGAGCAACACGACCATCAGGGCCAGGACGTCGTGCACCTGGTCCATGCCAAACATCAGCTAATTCAGCAGTACAAATGGAATTGAACATTGCCCAACAAAATGTAGGAACAACAAGGAATGCTAAAAATATTAACCATACAATTATGGTTAAATATGTGGTGCACATAAACTAAAGTTTTTTTTAAACAAAAAGAGAAAGAAAAAATCAAAAAGGCAATAATGATGATTAAATTGGACAGAAAAAAATATCATTCAAAACAAAACTATAACACTAACTACATAGATAGATGCATACTTTTATTTTGTAAGTGCTACTGGTTATCACAACTATGGGACATGTGTTACGTATGCCTATCCACCGACTGCCTCGACGAGCTATGTTTTGTGGTGTAGAAGTAGGTTGGAAGAAATCTAGGGGCGGCCAAACCAAAACAAATCCATGAAATCACTGACAAATGGACTCAGTCGTGTTGGTAGATATAGGCTACCTGGTTGGGGTCCGCGAGACGAAAGTCATCAATGGTTAGAGACCTTGAACGACATGGCTCAAAATCGTTTGCAATGGTGCAAGTGCATCCATTCATTGTGCTCTCTCAAATCCTAATCTTCTGTATTCGTCAGCACCTCTACCTTTATCTTTGTAACCTTATCTCACTGAATTATACTTCTTGAATAATATCTTCAAACCCTAGTCTTCTTCATTACCATTAATACCTCTACTATCTCTATCACTATAGGGTTTGATTTGGCATTTGCGTCTCTGTGTTAATGTGGTATGTCAACCTGAACTTATGTACATACGAACGAAGTTCTACGTTGCAGCTGACTGACTATCACAACTACATATCCAAATACTTCAGAAGTACTACACAAGTTGCCGCTATCAAAGATGTTAATGACAAAACTAAGTAAAACCAGTGGCAATAGATTTCCAATACAAATAATATCACTAATGTTGTCAAGTTAAATAATACCTAATCATAACCACTTAAACAATTGCGTAAGTTGCAATAGCAAACCATTCAAACTAGGATGAAACGGTCATTCAGTGCTTTCAAATTCCCGATGATGGTCACAGGTTATGATTTCAATGAAACACTTCTCTCTCATATTTATTTGAATAGTAATGACGATAATAATAATAATAATAGTAACCAAAAGAGGATCAAACTAGATGAAAGTAGTAAATAGTGATCACATATTTATTCTTGAAGTGACGAGTGATGACCAACTGAATGTTGTTTGTATAAACTAAGCACCACATAATCGATTGGAGATCTTAAAAGTAGTTAAATCCCTTCTGAAAATAAAACTCGTTACTTCAAGGTAAATATTTGGATTTGAGACTTATGATAATCATATTTCTTAGTAAACTAAGAAAAAAATCTCAGTGCTAACAACAATCAAATAAGCATGGAATGTGAAATGATTTGAAGAAATATTCACTGACACGGTACAAATGAATCTTGTTTAGGAGGGGGAGAGTTAACAGTATTTCGGTGCACATCAGTACAATCAACTACAAACTACAAAATCAATAAGTAAACTTCTGGTACATTTTGAAGAGATTTCTTTTTTTCAAGTCAAACTAATCAATAATCTGTATCTTGGACACCAATGGGTTGTAGATTGTGATCGAATCGAATGGGTCAGGATTTGCGTAACTTTTAAGCAACAACTACGGCTGATAACCTGAATTATTTTTTATTGAAATTGATCATGTCAACTTCCAAACTAAAAAACTTCCCTCCTAGTTCAAGAGTTTGTAGAAATTGTTGGATTCCATAGTCCATGTAGAAGCCGAATGTCTTACAATCAACTCTTTACAAACTATAAAAGAATCCTAGTAAATTCTATACAAGTACATAGACAAATGATTTATACTAAACATACTGATTTAATTAAAGTAAGCATAAAATTCTTACCAACGCCGCTGAACAACGCCCACCCATAATGTAGCGATCACCACGATAGATGCGGCCACGAGTGGCATTATTCACAAGTGTTGAGAAAATTAGTATAAGAAAAGCGAGTAGTACAGCTACAGCACCATTTACAACTGCAGCAATTCTTAGATAGGGTAAACTGAAGATTGAAAAAAAAATAACATTTGATATAACTAGTGATAATAACTTTTAAAAAGGTTAGAATAAAGTATATCACAAGTAACTCAATAAGTTATTTATAATCAATGTTAAACCTGGTACAAATGTGAATTGGTCTGGATTACCATACCCCATCAGTACGATGAGATGATTAGTGAAGAAGGAAAGTAATGTATTCACAATAACAACTAAGGTATTACATAACAGAACAGATGTTTTGAAAGATGATCAAGGAAAAAAGAGTTTTAACCTGAAAACAAAGTGTCCAGTTTATTGATTTACAGAGTTTGTCTGAATAAGCTCACTAGATGAAAACTATGAAATTAGTCAAAGGAATTAAGAAAATTATTGGAATTTTCCGATAAAATCATATTTTACGCAGTTTAAAATTACACCAACCACCATACTCACTAGATCTTGAAGTTTTGATTTCCAAACCACAAATTGGAAAACATTTACTGGTACACAAATTGTGTCTATTGTACTAAGATTGATGGTAAGAATGGATAGGTTTTGTAGAAACAGACGCTCCTGATCGAAGGTGATTTATATAGTTACATACGCTGAATGACATGGCTAAAAATCGTTGGCAATGCATCTTTTCTTCATCTTCCTTTAATATCTAAACTTCTGAATTCCATATAAATTTTTAAGAAACTCATTTTTCTGATCTATATTTTTTAAATCTTATCTTCGATTCCTAATCTTTTTTAGTACTACTGATACTTCTACTACCTTTCTAACCTGGTAATATAGTCTGAGAATTCGATCTCTCTATGCTAACAGAGTATGGCAGCTTGAACTAATGTACGTACGTACCAGGTTCAGCCTTGCTGATAACTGACTTCATCTATTGATCTGCCATTCTTACCTAATACCCATTTCCTAACAACAGCATTGCTTACTCGGTTGTCCCAGGATACACGAGCAATGCTCCGGAGACACCTATGATCGGAGACAAGCAACCTACGAATATCTTCTACTCTTACTGGCCATGTTTCACATCTATCTGTATAGTTGTTGGATGAAGCGATCTGCAGCGGAGTAGACTTGTCCGTTAGTTAGCAGACAAGTGAGTTTCCTTGTACAAGATCAACTGTTGAAAAGTCAGACGATGAAATTGCTATCTATAAAAGCATGTCTATGATAAAGTTGAATAGGAAAGGAGAAAGTGGACAGCCCTTACGAACACCACTCAAGGTAATCAGTTTCACCATAAGCTCTCACTCGACCAGTAGTGTTCGAATTTAAGGTTAACGTTCTTCTTTGTTACTCCTTTCAATGACCGACAATGCCATAGAACCTCACGAACGACTGAGTCAAACACAGCCCTAAGGTCCAGGAATATAACTATTGTCGGACGTCTGAATGTGTTTGTGTTTTAGGACCTGACGAAATGTGAATATGTGGTTTATAGATCCACATTCATGTCTGGAACAACCCTGGTCTTTCTGAATCTGCTTTTCAAGGGCTATGGTTAGGACAGACAGACAGATACAACGCAGAACTTCGTACGTAAGTACATCAGTTCAGGTTGCCATGCCCCATCAGCACAGAGACGAAACTGTCAGTTCAAATGCAAGAGTGATAGCGATAGTAGAATTATTAGCAGTAATGGGGAAGATTAGGGAGCGAAGATATGATTCGAGAAGTATAATTCAGTAAGATAAATTTAGAAGGAGAAAGGTAGAGATTATGAGGAATGCAGAAGCTTAGAATTTCATAGAACACAAAGAATAAATGCGCCGGCGCCATTGCAAACGGTTTTGAGCCATGTCACTCAAGGTCTCTAACCATCGATCATTATCATTTCGTGGACCCCAGCCAGGTAGTCGACAACTACCGACATGACTCAGTCCACTTGTCAGTGACTTCATGAATTTTTGCCATGTTTTGGTCTGGTCGCCTCTAGCTTTCTTCCAATCTACTCCTACACTGCAAAACATCGCTCGTCGCGGCAGCAGGTGGTTGGTCATACGTAACACATGTCCCAACCACCTCAAGTGATGAAGTTTCACCAATTCATCTATTGATTTGCCATCCCTACCTAGAACTCGTTTCCTAACGACAGCATTGCTTATACGGTTGTCCCATGATACACGAGCAATGCTTCGGAGACATCGATGATCGAAGACTAGTAACCTACAGAAGTCCTCTACTTCCGTAGGAGCCGAAGTATTATTGAAGCTAATATCTTAGACACTATATTAGTTAAACTGATTCCTCTGGGATTGTCACAGGATAACTTTTGTCTTTTCTTATAGACTGTATCTGAATAGTAATTATACCAACACATTATTCATAGATATACTTCATTAAATTGAATTTACGACAGACTAATGAATATATGGGATCACTTAGGCGCCTAAAAAGTAGTTTTGTGTGATCAGTCAATTACTGGTGCATTCCAGTCTGAAAAGGTTGATTTGAAGTACTTGTTAGGAAAAAGTAGCAGCGATTGATGTTCATGAAAGCATACAAGTTACAGATTAAGAAAGCATGGAACCTATTTCTTTCTCGTGCTAAAGGACAGTACAGTATACAGAATTGCACTCATTAATGTGTACGATATTGTCATATGTTAGCAATAGTTTTAAGTGAAAACTAACAAGGATTCTCTGAAATTAGTACACTTAGCGGTAACTTTATCAAAACCAAGAAGATAGCAATAAACTGTACCACTGAAAATATTAAGTGGAACATTTAAATGTTGATAACTTACGAGTAAACAGGAAAAAAATACAACCGAAAGTATGTATCGATACGTGAGATTCCAGAATAAATTGTACCACACAAAACACCACCTCCAACAAGTACTAAGATGAAACCAATCACCGAGTTGTATGGAACACGACCAAGGCAGCTTCCTTTATCTAATGAAAAATAATTGTTTCGATATAAAACAACTGCAAGAAAGTAATGATTTACGCCTAAACGCCATTGTTAATTGGTGTTTTGGTGATTTAAAAACACTTTCTGGACGAAAATAATGTTAGCTGATAAAATTGGAGAAATTATACTGAGTAGGACCCCATACACGGGTTCCATACAAGGCTTTGAGATAAAGAATTAGAAGAATAATGCAACGGTGTGGCGAATAGAACTGTTAGCTGTTAGTTTGTCACACTAAGATCGTTTTCCCCATAAACGCTACTATACGGCTAACTTTTTTCTTTAAAGAACATACAGATGACGTGTTACTCAATGCCAAATCAACTGGTCAAAAATGCAGTTATAAGAATGTTAACCAATTAGGAAGTGTTGTCAACATTACAACTGAACTTTTATCTGACCAAATCACCAATGCAACTGAGGCACAAAATAACTCACTTAATTTTAAGTTGAATGAAATTAATCAGCCTTTTGCCTAGAGGCAAGTGAAATCCAGATAGAGACAGTGTAGGACCTAGAAAAATTTTATCGATTCAAAATCCCCGAAGTTGAAGTCTAACAAATTAAACTAGAAATTACTGGTTTAAGGATACCAATAAATAATTATGTAGGTTGAGACAGACTACATTTCTTCACTATTTGATAGATGGGAGGAACTGAATAGACGCACTGGATCTAGCTTTTCTCCTGGTCAGGATTTATCAGTAGTGTTTCAGGAATCTTGACAAAATTCTTTCTTTGAGATACGACATCACACTGAAATCTTACTGAGTAGTAATAAAACTCCCCCAGGAAAAATTAATAAATCTTTGCAACAAGCAAATAATAGACACAACATATTGTTATCAACTCAGTATGCACAAACTTATATATATAAGTACATTAGGCGTTTATTTATTCAAGGAAAATAAAGCTTAGGGATATATCATCGTTGTCTTTTAAGTGATTGCTAAATTAGTGTTAGTCATTAATGGACTCTGTAGAATTGATTGCGCAACCATTGATTGGGAGTAAGTATACAGTACTATGGACTTTGCTAGTATCAGTATAAAAATGTGATCAAGATATTGATTTAATCAAATTAGAAAAATGCTAACAAGAAACAACTGCAGCACGTTTGGTAAAATTAGATGAAGACAATGCTGTAAGCTTAGTCAGGTGTACCAATTTTATCCCGATCGCTAGTTCTAGTTAAACTACCGTGATCAGAAGCTGCAACACATGTTTGTATGACAGACACGGTATGTTCACTGAATAGGGGTTATTGTGAGTATGCAAATCGTTGGGGGTGAAGCTAGATGTTTAAGAAGTAGCTTCCCCGACAATCCAGTCGGGGAAAAACACTGCTCAAGATAAAAAACTTTCCTGTATTAGTCATTATTAGGTTTCTCACAAAGATTTCTGACTAAGAAAAATGAAGGCCATAAATAATACCCGTTTGCACTAATTACCCAATCTAGTAATCTGGAAAATCTTATTCGAACAAGGACTAGCATCCTGTAGGTGGTCCACGATTGGCTTAGATGAGTTGTGGGTTACTTATAAATAACAGCATTATTTGATCCAGATAGTAAATTAATAAAAATGGACTGAAAAAAATCACACAAGCATGCTCACCTACTGTAATCGCAACACGAAAGTATTAACCTGCAGTGTTATTTTTATTAGAAACAAAAGACCAACTGAACTCTAAATGACAACAAGGCACTTGATTTTATGAGGTATAAATTAAGTTTCTGTGAACACCTATCTATTACACCTTCAAATCCGAAATATTCAGATACTCTGATATTCGAAGAATGAGTGTAACAAATCCTAAGTATTCATCTTTTACCAGTCGAAGTTCACGGAAAGTCTATCAAGCAAATGTGAGATTTAAAAATTAGGGATGTAAACTGTGTAAACGGGCAAGACTTATCAAAAATAAAAGAGCAGCATTAAGAGAGGCTCAAAATAAGTGTCAGAATTTTCTAAAACGTGAAGCAACTTCTAGAATATGAAGACTTCCCATTTAGCAGTGAGACGTAGAAACTCACCCATTTGAAGGTCATTTGAGGCGAAAGTAACAAACCTGGCGCCTTCAAAATTCAAATACTGTAGAGCAGATGTTAAATAGCACCCAGCAACAGTAAACGTTAGGTGTTATAACCATACCTATCCTAAAATCTCTCATCAATTTATGATTCTTCCAAAGGCCACTCAAGGATCATTTCTAGCTTCGAAATTACTGAAAGAGTATCAGTGAACTAATGTCTGTATCTCAGTAGTAGAAGAAAGTTCTTGACTGCAGAGAGACGTTTTCAAAAGGGTTTCGAAGTTTGCTAATTTCATTCTCAAAAATTACTTCTCGCGCATTAAAAGGAGCTTATTACTGTTTAATATTGGAAAGATTTACTCTGTAGCTTAATTTACTATCATATAGTATGTGTTCTTTTGGAATGAAGGGTTCAAGTGGTTGTGGACGAAGCAGAAACGTCTTTTGCCTAACCGGCCTCGAAATCTACCAGTAGTGAATCAGCGATGCCACCAGGTAGGAACTTGATTATATCTAATGAACATAACAAAAATACTAGTAAATCATCATGAAATACTGTCTTCGGGAATATAAAAGTTCCCCATGAAGGACTCCTGTGAAGTCGCTTAGATAAAATAGGTCAACAGTCAGTCCTAGAATTTGGCTACTTGTAAAGAGTAAATGATTTTCTACATTTTTTATGTCTAACTGTGCCCCTATTTACTGGGTATTTCCCCTAATTCACTGTTCAGACTGTGTTAAGTAAGTATTTTAAGGGATGCTCAGGAGATTTTACAATGCTTCAAGCGATTATGTTACCGCTGAGACGTCTATACACAAATAGGTTGTGACTCAAGATACATGCGCCTTTGGTAATATCAAGGCTAATATTTGTGACGTAGGGTGGGGTGCTGAGAAAGAAAGAATAAAAGAAATGGAAGAGGAGTACAACAGAAAAGCTGAGTAGTGACTCATCAGATATTTTTTGAATAAAACAAAAGTATTGTAGTGAAGGAGAACACGATGGGGGCAACTGAATTGTATTTATCTCAAATTACAGAGTTAATTGGTAAAATTGGAAAACTATATCGTAAACCGTTAATTTGCAGAACATCAATCCATCGTCTGACATTTCACTGTTCATGCGTTTCATACAAATTCCATTGTGTTCCCGCTCTCCCTTTCTTGATCTTTCCCCATCTTCTGCTGCTAGACATTACGTTTTCACTCGCGTCATATACTACTTATAAGTAGTATGATTACTGAGATCTCTCTTTTTCTGTATCCGAACACTAACTGTACACCTGCACCTATGTAGGTTAGTATAGACAATTCACTAGTGAGATAACGAGCAGACAATTAATCGTATGAATAGAGGAAATTCAGGAGAACCGAATTGTTAGCAACAATTTTGATGTACAAAATATAATAATGGGGCGCAATGATCTGATGGTTCTGTTTTATTTTATTTAATCGTTTACTTTTTAACTCTGTGGCTCAAGAAGTTATTAGTTAGCTCTTTGTCTGTATAATTGTCCAGATCTGCTTGTAATAGGATTTCTTGGTAGGAGGTCAAAACCAGTGCAACGATAGGGACATGGGTCGTAGACGAGGTTAACTAGGAAAAGTAACATCAATATCACTAATAAGTTATATCCTGCTTTAACGTAAGAAGCCATAATCAAACAAAATTTTCTGCCCTATAGATATGTGTAGGTTGAGGATATCACCCCACCATCCTGAATGCTGGTCAGATACAGCACCTTTCCTCCTTTTATAGTCGAAGGTATCTCTAGAATCGAAAACGTATTTTATGATAAGACCTAACTGAGAAATATAACTTCTATGCGCACAACGAGAAGTAGGGACATATTACAATTATGTACAAAGCCTTCAAATTGGATGATACAGTTACTATCTTAAGAAATTTGCTTGAATTGGTGGTGGGATCCATAGCCTTATCTGGTCTCGAAACTCGTACTTTCTGGATACTTTGAGAAAGAATGTCCTACTTCATATCAAGTCTTCTTCTTCTATTCACTGATTAGAGTAGCTTGTCGTGTCGCTGGATCATCAGTCCTTTGTCTTGTTCACCATCTAAGCTGAGCTCGTAATAGTTCAAGCATATCTCATGCGTAACATGAGGTCTGTTAATTAAGATATTGTGCGGTACCCTTTCGAAAGCCTGTACGATCGCGCATGCTGGTAACCTCATCAAAGAAATCTATCAGAAATGTGGTGAATGACCTAGTTCCAATGAAGTGATGTTGTGAGGAGTCAATGAGACCTTCCCTAAGTAAGTAATTAGATAGCTAATCTTCAATCACTTTCTTTATTACACATGGGATAACTGGGGTTATATCAAACAGTCTCTGGTATTTTATTAAGTCTTTCTGCCCGGATTCATGTTCACGGACAATATGAAGTGAATTTCTGTAATTTTTAAAAAGCGATAGAAAGTGTTTATTGGAATCAACTACCTTAGTAACATCCGAAAAAGGGATTTATCATCACTGGAGACGATGTGTTTAGCTTATCTGCACACAGATTTCATGTGCCCTATTCTACCACATTTCATGCACATGAAATTAAGTAATGGACATGAATTATGTATAAGAAGTACGCCACGAAGTAGGGGTCTAACGAGCTTGAGCTCACCTTTGTTTGCTGCTTCAAAATTTTTGATAAACTGCCTCTGATGTTCTCAATAAAAAGGGGCTTATAGTTTCATAACCACCCGGCCATATGACCTTGAGAACTGGTCGCATTAGGAAGGCCGAGTAATGTAGTTTCATCTTTCATTTTTCGTATCCTAATTATTACACAACAGTTTTACTAGTTTATTGTCAGCAAACATCATAGACTAAAATGCATGGAACTAAACTTATTTCTATGGCAAAATAACAAGAAGCTAGAACATGTTTTTTGATTGCCTAGAAAGGAAAAGAAGTCACGAGGCTGATGCCCCTTCTGACAATCCGAGCAACCATTCTTTTAGGTGCATGGAATGTTCGAACAATGTGGGAGACTGGAAGACTATTTCAAGTCGCTGCATAAATAAAAAGATACGACCTGGAGGTGTTTGGAATCAGTGAAACGCACTGGACACAGGTAGGACAATTGAGACCAGCTTCAGATGTAGAATCCTTTTTGAATGTTTTGTTTTTTGGAAAATCCCTCCATGTTTACATATTTTTGTTATGACATGACGGACATTTTCTGTTGACATTTTTGGTATTTTATTTGATTCCAATTTGAGATTTTATCATTGTATATTGTTATTATTTCTATATTTTGTACTTGTAATGAAGTTTTTGTGTTTGCTTCTGATCTGTATATATTTTGTTTAAATTTGATCTTTAATATGGCTACAGCCATATTTGGATTGATACAGTAGCTGTTGGACTTAACGTCACTTACTTATCGTTGTTTCGGATACTCTTCGGAGTAATTGTAACCTGGAAGGTGTATTAATTCCAGGTACTGCTTTGTATTTCCATGTTTTTATTAATAAAGACCACTTTCTCCTAGAATTTTTGCTTTATCGGGACCTTGAACTGGGAGAAACGAGTTCAGGAGTGCACCTATTGGAACCCATTGGAACGGCCACCGTAGAAATCCATTTACATCAGAGGACCTGCTTTTATACTCTATTCATGAAGAGGAAAATACTTCATATACACAAGGAGTTGCACTCATGCTGTCAAAACAAGCACAAAAGGCACTGATAGGATGGGAATCTCATGGACCGAGGATTATTAGGCATCCTTCAAAACAAAGAAAGAGGAAATTACAATGAACGTCATCCAATGCTATGCACCTACCAATGACTACAATGACGACGATAAAGATCGATTCTACGAAAGGCTGCAGTCAATCGTCGACAGATGCATACCAAAGGATTCGGAGGTACTATTGGGATACCTCAATTCCAAGGTTAGCAAGGACAACACCGGATATGAAGACATTATTAGAGGACGTGGACTGGGAGAAAGGAACGAAAACGGTCATCGGCGGCACAATATTCCCACACAAACGCATACTCATAGCTACATAGATTTCACCGGATCACACTACTCATAACCAAATCGACCGTATATGTATCAACAAAAGGTTCAGAAGTACTACGGAGGATGTGGGAACCAAGAGAGGAGCTGATATATCCTCAGATCACCACTTGCTGGTCGCTAAAATAAAGCTGAATCTCAAGAAACACTGGATAACGGGGCAGACAACACCACACAAGTTTAATACAGCCTTTCTTCGGCATACCGTAAAACTCAATGTTAGTTATTTTATAACTAATTGTGGTTAAGCGATAACTAACCAGTCAGATTGGTTGAGCGCTCACCACGTTATCTAGTCTGACCGGTCTGTATACCTTCATTGTTGTAAATGACCTATTGGTTGAAGGACGTTATTATTTTATTGATGTGACTCATGTTTTTATTCATTTTCTAAAGACACGCTATACTGGTCGAAACAGATAAAGTTTAAAATCAACTTGACCTTCTTTTACTATAGCTTTACTACAGAGTCTGTGCTCGCCAGTATTGCATTTACTGTTTTAGAATTACATCTGTGGGACAAATTAAATCCTACACTCAACGAATTCAAGATAGCCCTCATCAATAGGTTCCAGGCCTTGCAGAATCTACTCAATGGAGAGGAAGCAACATTGGAGAACAATTGGAAAGGGATTGAGGAGGCAATCACTTCAACATGTCACCAACTTCTGGGTCACAAGAAGTACCATCATAAGGAATGGATGTCTGTTGGCACTCTTGAAAAAATTGAAGAAAGGAGGAACAAGAAGGCAGCAGTGAATGTCAGTCGAACAAGAGCAGAGAAAGTTAAGGCACAAGCTGAATACACGGAAGCAAACAGGGAAGTAAAGAAGAGCACCAGAGCTGACAAACGAAAATATGTAGAAGATCTAGCAGTGACGGCGGAAAAGGCTGCAAGAGACGGAAACTTGAGAAGATTATACGACACAACAAAGAAGCTCGCTGGGAACTATCGTAAACCAGAACGAACAGTGAAAAGTAAGGAAGGCAAAGTAATCAGCAACACTGACGAACAGCGAAATAGGTGGGTAGAGCACTTTCAAGAACTCTTGAATCGACCAGCTCCACTAAACACACCCAACATCGAAGCAGCATCCAAGGACCTCCCAATTAATATTGGCGCACCTACGATTGAGGAGATCAGTATAGCCATCAGACAAATCAAGAGCGGCAAAGCAGCAGGACCAGACAACTTTCTAGCAGAGGCAATGAAGGCAGATGTAGAAGCAACTGCGAAAATATTTCACATCCTCTTCAAGAAGATTTGGGATGAGGAACAAGTACCATCAGATTGGAAAGAAGGATACCTGATCGAAATACCAGAGAAAGGTGACCTGAGGAAGTGTGAGAACTACAGAAGCATCACTCTTCTTTCAATACCAGGCAAAAGGCTTCAACAGGGTGTTGTTAAACAGAATGAAGGACTTCGTAGACGCCCAACTTCGAAATCAACAGGCTGGATTTCGTAAGGATCGATCGTGTACTGACCATTGTGGAACAATCAATTGAATGGAACTCACCATTCTACATCAACTTCATCGACTACGAGAAGGCATTCGATAGCGTGGATAGGAAAACACTGTGGAGGCTTCTTCGACACTACGGTGTACCTGAGAAAATAGTTAACATCATACGGAATTCTTATGATGGATTCAACTGCAAAATCGTACATGAAGGGCAGCTACTATTGAAAATGTGGCTGTATTATACGGTTTCTGTCAGTGACATGGTGTAAATATGCTATCAGAAACTGGTTCTTATACTTTGTTTAACTGGTATAACTTATATAGTGAATGTGAAAGCATTTGTGACAATCTGATCTAGCCTGTAAACTGGCGTGACGCTTGTAACGTAGTTATTTGAGAATAAATATAATATTATTATTATAACAGACTCGTTCGAGGTGAAGACCGGTGTCAGAAAAGGTTGCTTGCTCTCACCCTTTCTCTTTCTCCTGGTCATCAGTCGACTGGATTATGAAGATGTCGACATCTGGGGGGAAGCACGGTATCCAACGGACAGCTAAGATGCAGATAGACGATCTGAACTTCGCAGATGCATCGGCTCTTCTTTCTCACACGCAACAACAAATGCAAGAGAAGACGACCAGTGTAGCAGCAGCCTCTGCTGCAGCAGGTCTCAATATACATAAAGGAAAAAGCAAAATTCTCCGATACAACAGAACATGCATCAACCAAATCACTCTTGATCGAAATGCCTTGGAGGACGTTAACACCTTTACATATCTTAGCAGCATCATCGACAAATCAAGGTGGATACTATGCAGATGTGGGGGTGCGGATCGGCAAAGCAAGGGCTTCATTTCTACAGCTGAAAAATCTCCGGAACTTCAAACAAATATCAATCAACACCAAAATCAGGATTTTCAATACAAATGTCAGGATACAGCTCCACTATATGGAGCGGAATCTTGGAGAACTACCAAAGCCATCATCCACAAGATACAAGTATTTATGAACAGTTGTCTACGCAAAATATTTCAAACTCGTTAGACAGACACTATCAGCAACAAACTACTGTGGGAGAAAACAAACCAGACTGCAGTGGAGGAGTAAATCAGGAAGAAGCAGTGGAAGCGGATAGGACACATACTACAAGAAGCACCTAACTGCGTCACAAAACAAGCCCACACTTGGAATCCTCAAGGTAGAAGGAAAAGAGGAACGCTAAGGAACATATTAGGCCAAGAAATGGAGAATGATATGAGAGGAATGAACAAACATTGGACAGAACTGGGAGGGTAAGCCCAGGACAGAGTTGTTTGGAGAAAACTGGTCAGTGGCCTATGCTCCACTGTGAGTAACAGGCGTAAGTAAGTAAGTAAGTAAGTAGAAAAGAATTCTTGTCTTGTTTAGTCTTTATGCAAGCCAAGTCATGATGAACGAATATTAAGAAAATAAAACCGTAGTAAAATCTAGGATCTCTGAAAAACAACCCTGCATAGATATTTTTACGGATCCCTAACAAAACCCTGTCCAAAATTTTCATTTCGAATAAAATGACTTCATTTTAATAAAGCTATTTATTATACAAAACTGAGCTACAATACATTTGCAGTTGTTAATAGCTGTAATAGGCGTGTTAAGTTTACAAGCCTTGATAGAGTATTTCAGTTTGACTGAAAGTTAACTGGATTTATGTAAGATGAAACTGTGAAGAGCGACGATTTCATTCACCAATAAATTTTACAAAGTCAACAAACTGTAACTGGATATGACACAAAACTATTGTATTAACTAAAAAAACTAATAAATTGGAACTTACAAAAATGAGAAAAGAGCAGGCAACACGTGTATAAAACACGAAGTAAGTCTTTGAATGTCGTGCAGGGCAAGGGTGTTACGGAACAGAAACGTCCCACCATATGCTTGCGAATTGGCAAGGCCAAAATGGAACATTTGCATGACGTGTGAATGCGCACTTCCAGTATCATTAGTAGAGTATCTCGGCATTTGTATGGGCTCTTTTTTCATATTGATATGTTAATCCCAGCAATTAGTCAATCCCACCTCTGAACATGACGTTTTTCACTGACATTGCATTTGGCGGCTTGTTCCTGCAATTCCAGGATGAACTCCTTAACTCCCTGGTCATTTTGAAGAGTCCTTTTACGGCATCCTCCCCTTCATGATATCTGAAGTTTGGAAACGACGTGATTTAATAGTAATTCTTTAATGGTGTTTTATGACAACGAAAAGGGTTGGTCTAAGAAGATAATTTTCAGTAAACAACAAGTTTCCTTTAGATGATTTACAGAAATGCTCCAACATGTATTCATCTTTGGCATCTTTTCTGGTCAAACATTGCATTTTATATCTCTCCATGTCATCTTCAGAGTCGTCCTTGCCTGAAATAATATCCAGCTTTCCAAGGTTTAGCTCTATTGCGAGGCAAGTGTGACAGTCATCAGCAACCATATTCCATATAAGAGACAGTTATACCCAGAAATGTCCAGCTAGTATTCTATCAGTTACTTATGTACCAATACCAAACACAGGAAGAACTAAGCGAGCACAAATGGGAGTATCGTATTTCGAATTTGAATCGGCGTGGAATTACGAACAGTGGAATCAGCCTTGTAGATATACATCACAAACGACAACAGGAGAATACAGCACGCCCCATGGAGCGGTGGAGGCTGACAGTAGATGATCACTGGCAAGCAGTGAGAGATATCATCCAAAACGATGTCGTAGACAACGTACCTCAGTCACACCAAAAACGCGAGAACAGAAGAACCTGGGTTAGGCGCGGCACTGAACGCTTGTTGCAGGCGAAGAGGGAAGCTTGGCACAAGTGGAAGGTCTCCTTGAAGGATTCTGATCGCAGCTCTTACTTGGCATTGAGAAACAGATGCAATACCAAAGTTCGAAGCGACAGGAGACAATTCCAGACGACGTTAGCCGCCAGAATAGAGGCAAACACGAAACATATGTTTAGGTTCATGTCCAAAAGAAAACCTAATAATCAAGGGTTGTGTTCTCTAAAAGGACCAAACGGGGAAGACCTCACCAACCTAGAGATGGCCGAGATCTTCAACCCCACTTTTTCTGATCAATTAAACCAGGCGCCTACATGTTCAGAGTATTAAGCCAACCCAATGCCAGCTGACGGCTTAGGGAACATCCGTATAACTCCTGACCTAGTATTAAGTAAACTAAAATCCTTACGCCCAGGTGAGTCACCAGGTTGTAACAAAATCCGCCCAATGGTCTTGCAACAGTGCGCTGAAGCCCTCTGCTCACCGTTATGCAACCTGTTCAGGCATTCACTGGAGTCACACCATTTCCCAGCTGAATGGAAACAAGCTACTCTCTCTCCAATCTTCAAAGGAGGAGATAGAAAGGACCCAGCCTGTTACAGACCAGTCGCACTACTACCTATATTATCAAAGGTTATGGAAGGACTAGTGGACGAACAAATGAGGGAGTACATGGATAAGAATAAAATACTCCATGAAGCTCAACACGGGTTTCGGAAAGGCAGGTCATGTGCATCTAATCTTCTCATCGCATGGGACAGTTGGACATCCTGTTGAGACCGTAAGATACCGGTACACGTAATATTCCTCGACTTTGCAAAGGCCTTTGACACAGTGCCTCACGCACGCCTAATCGAAAAGGTTGTGGAATGGGCTTCACTGACCCACTCCTATCTTGGCTCAGAAACTACCTTGAGAATAGAAAGTTCCGCACCAAGGTAAATAGAGTGAATGCGAGTTGGTTAGTCCTAACATCGGCAGTTTCACAGGAGACCACCGTAGGTCCATATTCATACCTGATATTCATTAACGATCTGTGAGACAAAGTTAGCTCGGTGGCATAAACCTATGCAGACGATGCAAACATGTGGAAGTTTATTAGAAGCTAAGATAATTCAACTGAGCTTCAAAATAAACTCAAATATATTAAGTAATTGGCAGTTAAAAACGGTTTCAACCTAAACTGGTAGAAATACCACGTCATCTACGTTCTGCTCCACATGACGCATATGACTTACACCCTCAACGAAGCCCGCTTCCTAATGTCTCCTCAGAGAGCGATTACGGTTTAAAAACCACTGAAATCCTCCATACCAGTTCAAACTATATAGTGGATGCAGCCAAGGCTTATGTGACTCTTCATTTTATTCGAAGATAACTTGTTACAATCACTCCAGCATTATTCTTAACCAAACCATATCACATTGCTTTGGCCAAAGTAGAAAAAGATAAGCAATATTCCTTAGACATAGATACAAGGTATTGTCTTCGTCAATTAATTACTGCAGTGCAGAAGCTGTACTTATACTTTGCCGGTTTTATCCGCCTTTAGGTCATTGTCGCGCAAATGTCTAAGGCGCAGTGTTTGGTTTTGGAGCAGATGGTTAATGAGCAAAGCATGTTTGTAACTGTGTGCTGAATATACCTTATGGTAGCTCCCCTTTCAGAAATGTAAGTTCCCTCGTATCCTTAAGAAATTTTTTTCAGATGAAATTATGTGAGAAGCTATGCTTCGTTGGATCGATGTCTGTTATTCTTACCACAATGTGCTTTGCTATCGTCAGGCCAGCACTCGTGTTGTACAGCTTCTCTTTTCTTTTCGTCATTCTATACTCCCTGAGAGTTTATAACTACTGGTATTACCTGTTTTGTTATCGTGGTTAACACATTTAGGAAAAACAAGTACCTACTGTTTATGTTGGACCCATGCTACTTTATAAACTTTGCATCATTGCTCTTCATATGGTAAGTGTACACACTGATATTTGTATTCCTCCACAGGTTGTTGCCGCATTCACACGTCATGCAAATGTTCCATTTTGGCCTTGCCAATTCGCAAGCATATGGTGGGACGTTTCTGTTCCGTAACACCCTTGCCCTGCACGACATTCAAAGACTTACTTCGTGTTTTATACACGTGTTGCCTGCTCTTTTCTCATTTTTGTAAGTTCCAATTTATTAGTTTTTTTAGTTAATACAATAGTTTTGTGTCATATCCAGTTACAGTTTGTTGACTTTGTAAAATTTATTGGTGAATGAAATCGTCGCTCTTCACAGTTTCATCTTACATAAATCCAGTTAACTTTCAGTCAAACTGAAATACTCTATCAAGGCTTGTAAACTTAACACGCCTATTACAGCTATTAACAACTGCAAATGTATTGTAGCTCAGTTTTGTATAATAAATAGCTTTATTAAAATGAAGTCATTTTATTCGAAATGAAAATTTTGGACAGGGTTTTGTTAGGGATCCGTAAAAATATCTATGCAGGGTTGTTTTTCAGAGATCCTAGATTTTACTACGGTTTTATTTTCTTAATATTCGTTCATCATGACTTGGCTTGCATAAAGACTAAACAAGACAAGAATTCTTTTCTAGGTAATCAAAAATCATTTTCTAGCTTCTTGTTATTTTGCCCTAGAAATAAATTTAGTTTCATGCATATTAGTCTACGATGTTTACTGAAGGTAAACTAGTAAAACTGTAGTGATCCAAATTAAGGATATGTGTGTTCGTTCTAAGAAGATGGTATTTTTTATCGGAAGTTTGAAAACTCTATGTCAAAATATTGATCCTTGATATTTCCAACTGTTTAATCTCTGTGATATGATCTCTTGGGTCCGTTACATATAACCGTACTTGCAATCAGATTTTAAGCTTACTTCTTTGCAATTCTTTGAGTTTTACATATTTTATGTTATGTGGTTTAGAATAATAGAAAACTATCAATCTCAGTTACTTGTTTCGGTAGGTCTTTAAAAATACCGGTCTGAGTTTAAAAGTTAATTTGACTGAAATATTAGGTTATAAACAGTAGTTATAATCTCATACACTCGCTTTTCTCTACAGACCATCCGAGTGTATAAGAGAGGCGATAACTATCTCGACATAACTAGAATAAAGTTAATTTGGCTATTATCGTGTCTAAAGCTAGGTAGTCGGGGTATTCATAATGGAACTGAAAACATGACGCACATGCTGTCGAGACTTCTTAGACTAGCAATTACATTGTAATGTAGTCAACGAAATTTGATATGACGTTGATCACTACGCATTAGTCAGTTACTGTAATATCTAAGATGTTAGCTGACATCACAATGCGCAACCCAAATCGATCTTGGAAGCAGAAAACCCGAGGAAAACCCTAATCTTTTGAAATACCTTATGAGATATATATAAATACTTACTCCGTTGTATTAATTTTTCTTGGTTTGATAGCGTCATATAACCTCTCTAACACAAGATCTCATGGCTAAATCTTCATTGAAAGACATAGCATAGAAAATTCATCGAACTGCAGAAGATCCACTGTAAGAACACTATTGATCGGGTCCGAACTTGCGGTAAATTGTCTTATCAAATGACCAGACAGTGTTTATCAGGGTTATCGACTTCCTCCATACTTATATGGTTTCGGTGTAAAAGTGATTTTGTCACCAGGATTTTATTTTTCTGATTTTGCTGCCGTATTCTACCATGAGACTCTTATTTACTTAGGGTATGTGAATGACACCATTCTGTTTGAACAAAACACTTACTAAACTCCTTCAAAACAGTCCAAGAATATTTAGGATGAGGACACCAACTTCGGTTAAATACATAATCTCATACTTGTTTTAAGTTTGTAACTAAAGCTTATTAACAGAGTATAGTGGGTAAGAAATTTTTTATTCAATGTCATGAGTTCTGATGTGTTCATTCGTTGAAAGAATCTTTTTACGTTCGTAGAATTCGGTGGCATCCTTTAGAAACATCAGTTTGGTGGTATACCGGCTTACATGATTCCAATCCTTCTCGTGAATTGTTGTTCTGGAATACAAATATCAATTGGTTCTGGCTTGTTGCAGCTCCTACTTTATTTCATTTTATACGCGAGGTAAGCAAAAATCAAACATTTTTATCCTTACTTTTCGAATATTCCTTGTATTTTACCAGTGATTTTTACTTCCTATCGCATAGTAAGCTTACCAAACCAACTAAACTAGTTAATTAGAATACAACCTCACATCTTCAAACAGCAAGTAAGAAGAGTAGCAAAAATTTAAATACATTTCTCTGTAATCTGATACATCTTGAAGTATTTAGTACCATACAGGCTATTGATAATTTCATTTCTTGCTCTTTATCGGAAATAGAAAGTAATTCCTGTAAAGTTGATTAGTCCACATAGATAACCTAATTGTATGAGTTTTATCTAACGATAATCCTTGGTGTTTCTTAAAATTAGAGTTAGTAACCAACAGATTGTTGTTCAGCAGAGGGATGGCGATATTTGAAGGCCTCAAAAGTAATTAAAATTAAAGAAAATGTGTGAAAATGTGACAAACGTATAAGTAAATTCAATATAGTATGAAATAAATTACAAAAAGATGAATAAATTACGTTTTTTAAGCATCAAACATGTTCATCACCTTTTAAAAATGTTTTATGACAATCCCTACATTTAAACCAAATAGTTATCCTAGCTGTTAGTTAGGGACTTTTGTGTCCGAGCACAAATCTAGAATTCGAATGGTTTTCTTTGTGGAACTTACTTGAGTTCTCATTCGCCTTTTCCAAATAGGATTTCAGAAAAATCAGTAAATATTATCAAGTCATAATTACTAATTTGATAAATATTAGTAGGCTTTTCCTATTAATGTGGTGATCTGATGAGTCAAAAGGGTTGCTTAATCGATAAAAATAAGATCTAGTAACAGTAGATGGTTTCAGTATGAATAAGATGATATATAATTGAAAATTAAGAATAATAATTATTATTAGTAGTAGTAACATATTTCGGGTAGAAAATCATCTAGTTGAAGTAAATTGTTACAACATTTTTGGTCAGCTGTTCACTAAATTGGGTCAGTCAAAAAAAAATTCAGGTAAGGAAAGGAAGTAAGTAAGGAAAGGAATGAAAGTATGTTAATGATGTAGTTCAATGCAAATTCAAGTACTGCTTTTGTTAATTGTCTTATGGTGATAGAAAAACTTGACGCTATGACCCGTAGTTCATGAAATATTTCGTCTAAAAACATTTTATTGGTGGTAACTACAGGATAATACATATAATCCATATATACAACCAAGTAATTGCTATATTTTTAGGATAAAGCTGATTTATAAGAGCGAAACAGTCAGGAGCAAGTCGTATGTTACGACAGAATAATAATGTTTTTGCTTAATTCTAATGCTTAAAACTGCATTAGATATTTAAGATTATCGTTTATGAATAGGATTCAATCTTTCATGTATTTGATATTTCTAATTGGCTGAATAGAGTTTTTTTTCGTCAACGGGTCACTTTTATTGTGAGTGTAGAGAATACAAATCGTGTCATGTATTCTTAATTTGGCTTAATTGACAAAAATTTGTTAAGTTCTTTGACGGTAGAAACTTTAGAAATTCCTGTGCTAGATAATACACTCTTTACGTATTTATTGATCTAGTTTTTTTTCTGTTTTTTAGAGTATGTTCATGAAGGTCTAGTTGTATGAATTAATTGTATGATCGTTCTGAAGAAAGATATATAAATAATTAAACATTATTCTTTAATATGGTTAGCTTTTGCACATAGTCTAGTGTGATTTCGACAATTGTGTTCTTATATATCTATCTATCTATCAACTATATAAACTTTTATGATATTAATTCCGTATGTAAGAATTTTTGAATCAAATGCTTTAACGTACCCCGTAATTAAGATGTACATGATTCTTAAATAATAACATGGATGTGTTTATTCATCTGTTCATACTTTACCGAAGTATTAATAGTTGTCAACAGTGAATTTATGATCTATCACTTTCATCCTTTGACAATGTTTCTGCCTAATTCTTTTTTTCACAGATTCTATATTATATTATAATTTATGGAATTGTAAAACCCAGTGATGAATATTTAGATAGTTTTCGTTATTTACATAAAAAGAAATTTCTATGGCGTTTTCTTTGGAAATATATTAATGATCGGTGAGTATTATATTTATCAATAATATAAATGTGTTGTTTTTTTATCATTTTAATATTTGAATATGCAGATTTCATAGTGAGTGATATTGAACAATTTTAAAGTATTTTTTATTTTTCTAACTAATGACAATTCATTTAAAGTAGTACAAACTCTTTATCCATTCTTGTTCACTTATTTTGTCAGTCAGTCAGTCAGTCTTCGAAACTTTTGGTTGGTTTGTGCTAGTCATTTAATCAGGCACAGATTCCTAAACTTGTTTTCAACGTAAACTGTAAGTATGTGAGGTTTGATGATACTAACTGATCACCCAAAAATGGAATAGGTAGCTTAGGGCTCAGATTGTCGAATTCGTAGCAAAAATTGTAAGCAATTTAACCATTAAGCCGCCACTACTACTGATTTTGACCGGTTACTTCATGCTAGAAGACATTTCTGAAGTTGGTGTTTAGTAGTCTGATGCTATATATATATATATATATATATATATATATATATATATATATATATATATATATATATATATATATATAATTAGCGTCGTACAATTCCATAATTTTCCTATGGATATTATGGGGAATGTAATCATGTGAGACGATTTACTGATAAATAATAATTCGAAAGAAACTGCTTCAGTTGAGGTGGTTGGGACATGTGTTGCGTATGCCTAACCACCGACTACCTCGTTGAGCTATATTTTGCGATGTAGGAGTAGGTTGGAAGAAAGCTAGGTGCAGCCAAACCAAAACATGGCAGAAATCTATGAAGTCATTGACGAGTGGACTTAGTCATGTCGGTAATTGTCGACTACCTGGTTGGGGTCCGCGAGATGATAATAATCGATGGTTAGAGACCCTGAATGACATGGTTCAAAATCGTTCGCAATGGCGCCGGTGCATTTATTCTTTGTGTTCTCTCAAATCCCAACCTTGGATTTCCCCATCACCTTCTTGAATAATATCTTCGAAACCTAATCTCTCCGATTACTTCTAATACTTTTACTACCTCTACTATCGTGGGCTTTGAATTGACAATTACGTCTTTGTGCTAATGTGGTAAGGCAACATGAACTGATGTACGTGAGTACGAGGTTCTACTTTGCTGTTGGTGATGATGGATTGGTACCGTAGTTTTAGCATGTCACTATGGGACAACAGAAAAACTTCAAAGCATTTGAAAACAGTACAGAGTTAAAGCATACTGCAAAACAACTAACATCCCCTTCGTGAGACTTTAGCTCGTATAAAATACAGGATCTCCTTTATATGAACTATGTCTACAAATTAGGATGTGTCGATTATGACATTCTCTATTAAAAAGAAGACCTTACTATCCATCCAACTTGAACCATTTATTCAAGCTTATTATATCTGTTTCTTTTCACATTTCACATAATTATCATACCTACAAATCCAACTTTTTTTTTATCCTTGCATATTAGAAATGTTACATTTTTCACATCCATTAGTAGTATACAACTACATAACCACATGTCGCAAATAAATTATCTTAACCCCTGAATTGACTTGATCAGACTTATTTTTTTAATGGATTGATGATACTAAATATATTTATTTAATTTTATTCCTTTTTGTAACATTTGTCAATATTCAAACGTTTTAATAATAATCAGAGTAAAAATGTAATCACTTGTATTACGAATTGTAATATACACTTTTCTAATTTATAAAATTAAAAGTAGAATGGATCGTAAAACTAATTAAATCGCTGTGTGGTCAATATTATTTGTTGTTCTGTGCAAAAATAATCAGATAAACCTTGTTAACTTATATATTGAACCAATAAAAAATTCAATTAAAGCAATATAACATTTAATAATAAATCTTATAAACAATAGGACTCACTGAACAAAATGATATTTCTTACTAGTTTAATATCTATTCTTATTGACTAAGTGAAATTTTAAAAGATTTGCTGATAATTCTATTACTAAAATTAAGCATTTATCTTCGGTATCCATTTGTCATTCAAGATACGCAGTCTGACAAGCTTAGGAGGTAAAAAAAACGCAAGTTTTCATCTCCATATTTACTTTCTTTATTTTCATTTTCAAAATAATACAGGTAATATTCGTCATAACTTATGATCAGTCAGTCATTCAATTACAACGTAGATCTTCGTACGTACGTCAGTTGAGCTTGCCATACCATATTAGCACACAGACTCCACTGTCAGTTCAAATCCTATAGTGATGGAGATAGTACAATAATTATTGGTAATGAAGAATATTAGGGATCAAAGTTATTATTCAAGAAGTATAGTTCAGTAAGATAACGGAAGAAAGAGAAAGATAGAAATGATAGCGAATTCATAAGATTAGAATTTGAGAGAACACAAAGAATGGATGCACCTGCGCCATCGCAAACAATTTTGAGCCATGTCTTTCAAGGCCTCTAACCATCACTGACTTTCGTCTCGCGGATCCCAACCAGTTAGCCTGCGCCTACCAACATGACTCAGTCCACTTGTTAGTGACTTCATAGATTTATGCCATGTTTTGGTTTGGCGGCCCCTAACTTTCTTCCAACTTCTACACCATAAAACATCGCTCTTCGAGGCAGTCGGTGATCTAAATAGCTTGAATCATCATATTTGTAGCTGATTTTCATGTCCTAGCTGTAGTACTGTATTAAAAAAATTCTCAGTATCATTGTTTTGTTGCAATTTACCAAAATGTATTAATAATAAGTGTTAAGCAGAACAATCTAAGACACTTCTATTGATTGATATATGTTTGACATTGAATCAACTTACTCTCATTATAACTTATTTCTTTTTATCTTACACTTGTAACTGATATATATATATATATATATATATATATATATATATATATATATATTTCAAATGAATATATATATATATGATTAAACTTAAACATCAAGTGTTTTATGTTTAAATTTTCTAGTTTCATAGAAATTGATTGCGACTTACAAAAATTACGAAAAAAATACAGTCAATTTTCTTAAGCTTCAAACTGAATAAAAAAATTAGTTATGATTCTCTCTGTCAGTATATTTAGTCTTTTCAGTCTATTTGAATATACACAATAGTAGAGAAGTAAAATATTTTTTTCAAAAACAATCAAAAATTATCAGTTAAAATTTTTAACTATTTGTCAATCAAAATATTTCAGTCATGTCATACATACATATATCACTTGATCAATCTCTTACTAAACAATTCATTCTTCTAAATTAAGTAATCATTTCTCAAAATTGAATGTTTAACATAAAACTCTATAAACGAATATTGTGGAATTTCACTAGTGTTTAAGATTATACAGTTGATTTTTGTTAAGCAAAGTAATAAGAAGCTCCAGTTACTTTCACAACAAAACTAATGTATTTGTGAATGACTTGAATTTCATTTTTTAATAATATTTTCCTCTAAAAATTGTTTCTGTTTGATTTATAAAATTAATAAAGGTAAGCAGGCTCTGAGATATGAATAGAACATTTAATTTTCAATATGATTAACTTTTGTCAACTCATTGTAAAATAATTTTCATATTTTAATTCACTGAAAGTCACCTATGGTTAGAGACCTTGAACGACATGGCTCAAAACCATTTGCAATGGTGCAAGTGCATCCATTCATTGTGCTCTCTCAAATCCTAATCTTCTGGAATCGTCAGCACCTCTACCTTTGTCTTTCTAACCTTATCTCACTGAATTATACTTCTTGAATAATATCTTCAAACCCTAGTCTTTTTCATTACCATTAATACTTCTACTATCTTTATCACTATGGGATTTGATTTAACATTTGCATCTCTGTGTTAATGTGGTATGGCAACATGAACTTATGTACATACGTACGAAGTTCTACGTTGCAACTGACTGAATTCACTGAAATCGTGAACAAAGCTTGACTAGAATAATCAATTTCAGTGACCTTTTGTTATACTTTTGTAAAATTGTGCTTCATTGAAATAATGAGTCGATAAATGTTGGATCATCGTTAGGAATCTAAAAACACTGGACGACTGTTTTGTTCTAATATGAGACTCATCAACAGTACACATCGACGACCCCTCAAACGGGAGTAGGATGCAGAATTTTCCGTCTGACGCTCGAACGCCTAACCTGTAGACCACTGAGCCGTCATCCAACAGTGTTAATGTCTAACCTCAGTCAGTCCACAATATTCATCTTGCTCACTTGCAGCTCTATAACGTAAATTTGTACTATTATTCTTCATATAAATAAATTCTATGCAATTTGAGTATATAGATTGTCATCTCAGGTGTTTTACTTCCAGTAATCATACAGCGTTGTTGTAAACTTGATCTATAAACTTGTAGTTGATAATGTATAGTGTTACTCAATTTTCAGTGATATAGGAATAGTATATCAGCCTAGTCTAATAAATACATGACACTAACTAAGGTTTCAATCGTTGTCATAAAAATATCTATCCACATCTATATAATAAGCAGATGATATAGCAAACAAACTGCGTAGAATCATACAATTATGCATTATGTTGCGTAGTTAGTGACACTATGTTGAATCCAGTTGTGTAAACTAATGATCGAAGAGTTTTCTAAACAACCAATGCAAGTTATTTAGAGCTTGCTTTTTATTTTTACTTATTGTGATACTTTTGCTTATTTTTCTGTGTAGTAAAGGACTAAACTTTAGATAGCTTAGCTATACAGGTCAGTCAGTATCCGAATAACTCAATAGTAGTAACATCCCAAAGTGTGTAAGATTGAGTAATACTGGCTTGAATCTCGTAATACACCTTAGTTGCTGATGGTGTCTGGCCAACGAATACGAAGTATTTTGTGTAGACAACTGTTAACAAACACTTGTATCTTCTGGATGATGCCTTTCGTAGTTCTCTAAGTTTCCACTCCATACAGCAGAACTGTCTTGACATTTGTATTGGAAATCCTGATTTTGGTTTTGGTTGAAAGTTGTTTGGAGTTCCAGATATTTTTCAACTGTAGAAACGCAGCCCTTGCTTTGCCAATCCGCGCCCTCACATCTGCATCGGATCCACCTTGGTTGTCGATGATGCTACCCAGATATGTAAAGGTGTTAACGTCTTCCAAGGCATCTCCATCAAGAGTGATTTAGTTGGTGCATGTTGTGTTGCATCAGAGTATTTTGCTTTTTCGTTTATGTATGTTGAGACCTACTGTTACTGTAGAGGCTGCTGCTACACTGGTCGTCTTCTCTTGCATTTGTTGTTGCGTGTTCGATAGAAGAGCCAGGTCGTCTGCGAAGTCCAGATCGTTCAGCTGCATCCTAACTGTCCACTGTATCCCGAGTTTCCCCTCTGATACTGGCGCCTTCATAATCGAGTCAATGACCAGGAGAAAGAGAAAGGGTGAGAGTAAGCAACCTTGCCTGACACCGGTCTTCACCTCGTAAGAGTCTGTTAGTTTTTTTTTCTATTACATCATTTTAAATTTTAAATTAATATCAATTTCCGTACTGTACTTTAATATATATATATATATCTATGTATTTAATTTTTATTTATTTATATTACAGATGGCATTTAATTAGTTGGATAGCATGCAATATCATATTATCTACCATGCTTTTACTTATAGCTGTTGTTGCCTGGTGTAATTATCTCTTTCATGTATCCATGTTAATTATTCAAATGTTAACACTATTATGGAATGGTGCATGTTTTTATTTAGATTATTTCCCTATTGAATATACACGTAATTTAAAAATAGAACCAGAAAAGGGTATGATCACTGTCAATCAAAATGACAGTCATATTCTACATCCAAATACAAATGTCAATGATAAAGAAACAACTGATGAACGTATTATTAATGATGATGTTTATAACAGTGTTGCTGCTAGTATATTTTCATATCATTTAACACCAGATGAATCTAATGCTAAATTATTTGAAAATGGACAAATGACAATAGATGAACATAAAGGATTAACACAATAAAATTAATTTGTGAAAAAAAAACATCAACAACAATTGTACTCTCACACATTGATATAAAATCATGATTTTGGTATAACATAATTTCTTTATATATATATATATATATATATATATATATATATATATATATATATATATATATATATATATATATATATATATATATATATAATTATCATTGATCATGAGTTTAGTTCAATTATTTCTTGTACAATATTAATGTCCACTGTAGAGCCATCAATAATATATTATCTTATTTACATGTTTGTGTTTGTTTCATTGAATGTAATAAATTGTACTTTTTTTCTATAACGAGAAAAGAAAAAAATGACAGAAATCAACTACTGTACAATTAAAAAAATGTTTTTTTTCTTATTTATATCTATTTTTAAAAATAGATAAATATTTCCAATCATTGTCATAAATGTATGATTTACTATGATGCATTGTATTGTATTGTGTTGTTTCTGTCATGAAATAATGAGTTACACTCGCATTTTTCTCTGGAATTTCATATTTACCATGTTGTTAATCTACCAAATAACTTCTCATCTATAAATCACAATCGAAGTGACTGCATAGATCTATTTGTACTTGACACTTGATTCATGTGTTATGCTTTGTGTTTTCTTTACTTCACCAATTACATATTGAGTTATTGCTTATCTGAAAGAAAACTAATTGAATGTATTCGTTTGTTTGTTTTTTTTTGTAAACTAATCAGAAATAATTAGAAAATAATCTTTTTTATTTTTTTTTTCCCAATGTAACATAAACATAGTCCATGGTCAAGAAATCTTTTTTCTACACTTTTCCAATGATTAATTTTAATACACTTACTTTTTTCTTTTGATGTACACATTAGTAGTTGATGAAATTATTCTTTTTTTTCCAATTGTAAACTTATTCATTTCTGTTTGAATTTATTTACATGACCAGTAAATATCATATATATATATATATTGTTTTTATGATATAGATGATTTTGACCAATTCGGCCTCGTGTGCTGTTACGGGTATGAGGGCTGCCCACACCGTGGAAAGGTGTTTCTTGAGGGACCTGAAAAGGAAGATAGATTAGTATTGGTCTTGGAGACCTGGGTGCGTGACCGCAGAGTCTAAGGGACAACTGCTTGAGGCCGGTCACGCACGGCCATTTTATGAAACGTTTTTTGAGGATTAGCTCCGCTCTTCAAGGCCCTTGGTGGGCACCCTTACCGCCGGAGACGGAAATCCGTGAGATAAGGTGAGGTGTGACATTTTTAAAGTCGACCTTTTCTAACCTTTCCTTCCTTGTGAGAAGGCAGTATCGTTGCAGATGCTGGTTATCCGAGGGAAACACCTTACTGCTGTCACACCCCTCTGCAGTCAGCAGTACAACTTCGCCCTCAGACCTTGGGTAGCTGCTTTTAGTCTCATCGTTCTCCAATCAACCTGCCTGGCATGGTAGAACCTTCAGAAACATAAGTTCCAGCCAATATAGCTCGGTTGGGTCATCACGGTAGGCAAGCCCGACCACCATGTCAAGGTAGCAGCCTCGGTCGGGTCTAATGTTCAGCTTGAATTTTCTAGCTCTAATCGAATTAGCGCAGTGTCATTACAACACAAACAATATAAATAAATTTTGTTTTTGTGTTTTGCGTTTTACTGACGTAGGTGAATGAATTCAGTCACATTGTATACACGTGGATTAGTTGGGATTGTGTACACTTGCTTTATACATTTGTGTATGTATGTGTGTAAGAAAATGTTTTAGATTAGCACTGTCTAACTTAGTGATTATTTTCAAGTTGTATATTGGTTGTTCAAAAACTTTCTTTTTTTGTTTTTCGAATTTTCAACATTTTAATGAATTATTTAAGAGTATTTTATTCAAGTGAATTCTCTTCTCTTGTCATCATACATTTGAATGAATAGTAACCTGAAGATAATTATTAATTGGGGAATCATCACTGTATTGAACAGTAAGTCGATTTACTGGTGATTCAAATTTTCACAGATTCTACTAGTAATATCGGTTTGTGATAAAAAATTAATTTTCCAAAATATACAACTTTTCTTCGCAACATCACCTAACTAATTATAGTTCTATGTTCATTAGTAAGTAACTTTCAGATAGATTTCTTGAAATATGAATAAGTTATCTAAATAATTATATTACAAATTAGACTTAGTCGGCTATTTAGTTTCATTGGAATGATTGATTGTTATCATACTCACTGTAAAGCCTGTAGTCTATCAACTTAACGAGATGTGCATAAGAAGTTTCAAACTAATTGATATACTTGAAACTATTACGAGATTACCTTACTCGGTTACAAGAGTGAAGAAAAATGATGCAGTGACACGATAGGCCATTCTAATCCGTTGTTTATATATTATATATATATATATATATATATTTATTTATATTTATATTTATTATATCAAGAATTCTTGATATGGCGTAGAAAGTGTATTCAAGGCTGACAAGTACATAAATCGAACTTATTCATACATGATAGAAACATCCTTGGGAAAGCCAGAAAAACAGCGTACTAAAATAATACATCAACCAATGACAGTCAAGGATTTTCCGAGTAGGAAATGTAATTTCCAGGTCAACTAAGCAGCTTGTGCGCGAAAAAAAAACATTTTCCAAGTGAGTCCTGGTGATCTAACGTCCCCAACACTATTACTGACCAGCTATTCAAGTTTCCTTTCTTTTTCTCCAGCTGATATTATTTTTAAAAACGTCTGTCTATCTAATTATACACGATTTCATAATATGATAACCGAAATCAATTGTAAATACTTTTCTGTATGAAGTATGAACTTGAAATAATATAAGTAAGTTTTGTGGAGGGAAAAAAACTCTTAGAAATAGTGAAAATGTCAGTCATGGCTCTCTTTTTTTCTCTCTCAAATTCACTTGCTTAATTTATTTGATAACGATGAACATTTTTGGCACATTCAATGATTTTCTAACGAGATATATAAAATATGGTACATTGATTTGACTATTTTTATTATAACCTACGCATATATATTGTAATGTTTACAATTTATGTATCATTACTTTACATAATCAATGGTAAGGCAACTTTTGTCTGATTCAATCTTGACGATGGTAATTAGTATATATAACTAAGTATACAGGCATCAAAAGTTTCATTCAGCATTCAATATATTCAATACGTACCAATTTACCCATTTCATGATCTACAATATCAATTATAAAATGAAAATTTCAAAAACAAATATAGTTCTTAATAATAAAGTTATTTGAATCAATGAAACCTAAAGACAATATTTAAGAGTGAATTTGTCTGACTGTTATGATTAAATTTTGTATTAGCTTAGCGTGTTGACCGCTTCACTCAACTCAGGAGTTTCATCAGCGCTGATAGCATGGTGTGTGATGAAATCTCAGTACGATAAAGAAAGCTAGATTGGCTTTTGCCAGCCTGCGTCACTTATGGCGTAGGCGAGATATCCGTTTGTTAACCGAAGGACGAGTGTACTGCGCAGTAGTTCGCCTCGTCCTAATTTATAGTTGTGAAACGTGGCCAGTGAGAGTAGACGATATTAGTAGGTTGCTTGTTTTAGATCATAGGTGTCTCCGAAGCATTGCTAGTGTATCCTGGGACAACGGAGTGAGCAATTATGTTGTTAGGAAACGAGTACTAGGTAAGGATGGCAGATCAATAGATGAAGTAATGAAACTTCATTAGTTGAGGTGGTTGGGACATGTACTGCGTATGTCTAACCACAGACTGTCTCGACGAGCTATGTTTTGTGGCGTAGGAGTAGACTGGAAGAAAGCTAGGGGCGGGAAGACCAAAACATGGCACAAATCCATGAAGTCACTGACAAGTGGACTGAGTCATGTTGGCAGGTGTCGACTACTTGGTTAGGGCCCGCAAGATGATAGTAATCGATGGTTAGAGATGTTGAATCAGATAGCTCAAAACCACTTGCAATGGCGCAGGTGCATCCACTCTTTGTTTTCTCTGAAGTACCAAACCTCAGAATTCCTCGTTACCTTTATCCTTTTCTTTTTGAGTTTCTTTCACTAGATTCTACTTCTTGAATAATATCTTCGAATCCTAATCTCTCCGATTACTGCTAACACTTCTACTACATGTACTACTATGAAATGTGAATTGACAATCACATCTTTGATCTATTGTGGTATGGCAACTTGAAGTGATGTAGGTACGTATGAAGTTCTATGTTTTTTTTGACTGACTGATTTCATTGGATTATGAAACAATAAGTGATCATACTTTGTTCAGTATTATTCAGTTCACAATTCATTAATTAATGTTAGACAATGATTTCGTTTGACACATTTTATATTCCATAATCTTAGGTTTTTTGAAAATATCAGTTACAGAAAAGCAAGATAACAGCAACTGATGTACATAATCAGTCCATTAAACTCTTGACAATATGAAGTAGAGAATATATCGTTAGGATCAGCAAGCCTACATTGAATTCATTCTGGCTTCTTGATTGATAAATCATTTTTATTTTACTGATTATTCTGTAGATCACAATTTGGACTGATTAATTATTTACTATGCACTCTTTAGCCGCTTTGATAATATGAGTCCATGATAGTATGTGTCTATCAATCTACTTACGTGTACGTCATGCATCGCCCATAAAAAAAAAACAAAGTGGAATACATTATCTGGATTCACTGAATACTTTTTATCTGCTGTTTAATATTGAAATGCATATATTCTAAATACATTTAGTAACAGATCAATTGACAGACTATATACAAGATTAAACAGGATCTATATTCTGTCATGAAATTGATGTCAAATTATGGCTGTCAGTTTTACTACTACTGGGATGTATCCGTTTTCTTTTTAAATAAGATAGCTTAATGGAGAACAGAAACTTGTTAAAATAGTGTAAAAAAAAATAGAATGTTTCAACAAAATCAGGTCTATATGGAATGCTAATTTACGAAATTCACCAGTCTGAATGGTTATCTTTGTTTAATCCAATGTTCCTAATTTTTGACCTGTTTATTTGGGATTCCCAAGATAATTAGTATCATCATATGCTTGGTAAACCGACAA